GCATGGAATCGTGGACAATAAAGCAGTCTGAAATCAAAAAATTAAACTCCTTTGAGATGTGGTGCTACAGGAGAATGCATAAAATATCGTGGATTGAAAAAGTAACTAATATAGAGGTGTTACAAAGAATGAAAAAAGAATGTGAAGTCATAAAAACTGTTAAAATTAGAAAGATTCAATATCTGGGACATTTAATGAGGGAGAGAAGTACGTATTACTGAGGTTGATTATGCAAGGGAAGATACAAGGGAAGAGAAACCCAGGACGATGCAAAATGTCCTGGCTAAGAAATTTGAGAGAGTGGTTCGGCTGCAGCTCATTAGAATTATTCAGAAATGCGGCCAACAAAGTTAAAATAGCGATGATGATTTCCAACCTCCGCTAGGAGAAGGAACCCGAAGAAGAAGATTGTTTGTGACGGTTGTATGACAATGAATGAAATTAGATGTACAATTGTGTGGGTGTGCAATTTTCTTCAACTCGTAATTATCAAATTTCTAGAAATAGACATTTTGAAAAACCACAGACATGTAATATTGGTATAATTACTGTAATTTATATCATTTATCTTTGTTTATTTTTATAAGACAACACCCTAATATGGGTTTTATTATTTCAGCATTTAATTAACTTGTATCCACAGACCTGAAGATGCTTTCCATATTGTAGAAAGCGAAACCGGTCGTATAGATAGTTAAATTAAACTGATTGTGAGTAAGTCTTATTTATTATTTCTTTTACCTATTTGAAATGGACTTACACAAGCAACACATTCATGATTTCTCTGCAATTTATTTCGCAATGTGGTCCTGTTTCCATCAATAAATCAATAAAGATTTGTTATATTCTTCCCACTCTAACATACTCATTTAGTTTAATCTCTCCATTCCTTTTTGATTTTTTTTGAGGTTTCCTATAAACATCCATGCTTTAGATACTCGAGTTTTACCCATATATCCGTTTATTTTTTCACATTTTTTGTACCACGTTTCGTATTTTCTTTTGGTAATAGTTTTCTTAACTTCTTTATTATTTCAGTAAGTGTATGTTCTCCATTAGTCTGGATTTGTGTTTGTAGTCAGATTCAATAGGCTTTCTTTTTGATACCTACCAACACCCTTAATTCTTATTACCACCACTCTTGGTTTTACATTTTTCTTATATGCTATGACCTCTATTCTGCATTATGTATACAATCTTTTATTCGACAGTAGAGTTCCTCCACCGTCTTGTTTTATTTGCCAATATTTTGTAATTTTGTAGACAATCTGAGTTTGTTCAAAAATTTAATGGATTTATTCTTTAGACTTTTCAAATTATATTTGTTTACCCTCTTATTTTCGAGCATCATTTGTTCATATGGATGGTCGCTGTTATTTTTATAGTATTTAGCTAACACCTTTGTCATGATTACCAAACTTAGATCCTCGATACACCCTTACATCAGAAACTTTTATATTTGCTTTTTTTGGATGTGCCCATGTATATGTTTTAATCCAATTGTGACTTTTAATGATAAGCTCTTGCATAAACGTTTTTATTTAAAGTAGTCTTTCCATACTTTCCATTTCCATAAAATTTTTCGTTAGTTCCTGATGGGCATACACCCTAAAATACCTATAATATGGCCATTCTTAGTCAGCTCTGCCATGATAATTTGTTCTTCAACTTCTTATAGTTACCAACTTTTTCGTTACCTTTACATTGTTTCTTGGTTTCTGTTAGTACTGTTAGTATCACTTAGTTATATATATTTCTGATTCCTTGTACTTTTATGTAGCCATTTTCAATGTCCATTTCAGTAGCAATTTTCGTCGTCGTTTTAATCTATCCATATTCCGAGGAGAATTATCAAAATTGTTAGCATATCTAAAGCGTTTTTCAAATGACATGTTGCTAGCACGTGGATCTAACCCTCATTCTTAACACTAGAAAGTCTGGCTTAGCATACCTACCTAGAAAGCCCGAAGGGATCATTTTGGCCCCAAGTTCCTAAATCGATAAAAATCAAGTTTAGAATTTACTAGAATAGAATAGAATATAATAGAATAGAACTATTTATTTGGGAATAAACAAAAAATAAAAACAGTTTTAAGAAATTATATAAACACTTGACGATAGAATTTAATTTAATTTTTTTGTTTAATTTTAATTTATTTTAAACATTTGGAACACCATACAGTTTGCAGTTTTTGGCATTTGCCAAACATTGCCTTGTTACAGCCGTGACACTCATTGGAAGTATGATTTCCTTTACAAAACATTTTTAACTGACATTTTTTTCTTTTTTGGCTAGTAACAGTGCTGGTGGTTGGTGCTGGGTATAGTACCAGATTTCGGGAGGCAAGGTATGGAGCCCGTAATTTTTCACACAGCTGAAGAATAAACTTACGACGACTGATTTTACTTCCAGTAACTTCTTTATAAATAATCCAAGCATTTATTGCTCCTCAAGAATGTTATAAAACACGTGCATTGGCCATCGTCTTGAAGCAACTTTTGTAGTATAAAGACGCGCCATTTGGTCCACTACATCAACCCCGTATTTTGTTTTATTATAAAAACTTACTGTTTAAGGAAGTTTTTTTCCATCGACAGCAACATCCACTCATTGATGTAATGAGCTCAACAAAAGCACATTTTTGTGACTCTTTCCTTGGTATGCAGTAAGTGTTATCTTTTCATCGCTCTGGAATATATGGGTAACATACAATTCTCCATTTTTACTTTTTAGGCTTAGAGGAACTTCCTTTCTGTTGTGATTCAAAGTACCCACAAGACTTGTTGATTTTTTTGCAATGCCTTGGCCAATTTTAACGATGTAAAGTAGTTATCTGTCGTAACATTTTTGCCCTTTCCTAGTTGATTTTCCATTAACCGCAAAATAACATGTTCACCAACACTTGTATCTTTCTTGCGTAGATGGTCAGTGCTAGTATAACGGTAACCATTTACAATATATTTTGATTCCACACATGTCAAAAGCCAAAATTTTATGCCAAATTTATCCGGCTTATTTGATATGTACTGTGTGAACGGGCACCTGGCTTTAGAAGGCAGTAGTTGTTCGTCCACAGTAAGGTTTATTGCCGATTTATAACATGCACCACTATTTTCTATAAATCCATTTCAAACCGCAGAGGCTGGAGCAAATTTGTCGGTTTTCAATCGTTCAGATTTCGTTTGCTTTATGTCAAATCTGAGATATTTTATAATATCCTTGAATCTGTCTCGTGGCATAGTTTGCCTAAAAAACTGAGGACCCATACTGTTGACCACAAGCTGTTGGTTGTGAAATTTTTGGCGCCGTAGACTCCTCTTGCGTACATAATAGCAAGGGCAGTCTCCAGTTCTTCCAAAGTTATAGTCCATGTGTCATTTTTCAAACATCGATGTGCTTCTGCAAGAGTGCATTCTTTATATGACGTAACATGCTGTCGTTGATTATTAGATGCCAAACACTTACCACACAATTGTTCCTCACGTTCCTTTTTGCATACGACGTAGGACCTGATTCCTTTCGATAAATGTTGTGCTGAGCGCGTCGTCCTGTAATGAGCAAACATTCAATGAATATGAAGATACTAAAAATCATAATCTTACCAGGTACTGATCCAGAATCAATAACTTTCCACGTTGTTCCGTCTTTCGATTGTTCGGTGTCTCCGATTAAAATAGTTTTTTCTTGTTGACTTCTTTTTCTTTTGTGACTTGGCTAAGATGCACTTGGATTCACGATAAAATTAGCTGACTCGTGCTGTTGAGTTGTAGAAGCAGTGTGTACATAAATTGGTGAGTCTTGTACAATAAAACTTTCTAACTACTCTGCAGCATCAGAGTCACTTGAATCATTATTTTGTGGTGGTACGTATTGTTCATCGTCTGGCTCATTATTTTCTGCAAATTCAGATTCACCTCCAGAAACATCTTGTTGTATTTTTCGTATTTCTTCAAGAAGTTCAAGCTCTGATAGTCCACAATGAGACATCTTTACAGTCGTCTTAAATTTTCACAATTGAACGAATGTTTCAAAATTCTAGAAACGAGAGTCTGAAGTCATAAAATATGAAATTAATATTGTGTCAAATAAAAGAACTACAATAACTTCAAATCGCAACAGGGGCCAAATTGGCCCCTCCGACTTTCTAGTGTTAAAGGACCAAAGTTTTTTTTTAGTTTTTTTAGTTAAGTTACATATACTCTAAGAAGTTAAAATTACTCAACATTTTTTTTGAGTAGACGCAACTCTGTCTGTTTTTCAATGTGCCTTCAGTAAGTTAACGTTCCATCATTTTCGTAGTATTCCCATTGTACGTCTTTCTATTTAGGAACTGTCTCTCACTTTATTTACTATTCTACGTGTTGACATTCGATATTATCGTTCCATTCCAAGCTTATATGTCTTACCCAGTCGTCAATGTTCTCTATCTTGCATCTACGTCGAAAATCTGTACTTCTAGTTCTGTCCCATAGTGTCTTTCCAACGATGTTTCTCAGCGTTTTCATCTCTGCTGTTTCTAACATTCTTGTTGCCCTCCCTGTATAGGTCGTGTTTCTGCCGTGTATATTATTATTATTATTCTAATAATTGTTTTGTAAATTCTACCTTTTATTTCTTTCCCGATATATTTATTTCTCCATATTGTTTTATTAAAGCAACCTGCGGCTCCGTTTGCTCTATTCACTTGGTCTTCCACTTCCGTTTCGGGCATTCCGAGCTAGATAATGTGATGCCTAGATATTCAAACTTTAAATAAAAATATAAGACTAAAATACTGACAAATTAGTACTTAATTAACACATTATCTATCAACTGAAAAGAAATAAAACTAAAAGATACATTAAAAATTACATAAAATAAAAAAACGGATATGTCGAATGGTCAGTATATGTAAAATTAAAAGAAACGTTTAATTGTGATCTACCCTCATGTCTGAGAAGAAAAATGCATGCAATCTAGTTTTATTGTTATTTTACTTGATGCTTTCAAATTGTTACAGGTTAAATACTTGTCAAGATGTCTAAATCTAAGACTCATTTGGTTGCCCTTTTCGATAGACCAAAAGAGTTGGTTATTATGCCTAAAGGACCCAATAACATCTCATTTGATGTTCCACTTGAGTATTTGGTAAGTAGACAATATAAACGATTTTATATCATTATTATAATAATTAGTATACTACTAATATACTCCTATACTACTATACTAGTTTCTAATGCTTACACAACACCATACTTATAATGTCTTCTCAGAATTTTCTTGTTATTGGATCGGAATAATGTCAACAAACATGGAGTTTGAACTCTTTATAAAATCTTCGTATAGACCAATTAAGTAAGATTTTTACTGGATACAACTATATTGACGGATTTGAGATATTACAAAAAGACTTTTATCAGAAGGGAGTTATCTTAGAAGGAGTCATCAATTTTTTAGTGGAAATAAAAAATCAAAATGCGAAACTCATTATTTTTCCGCAAATCGCCAGGAAATTTTGACATTCCTGTCAAAATTTCTTGAAGAAAAAGTCAGGACTTCCTTACTGTAAGGAAATGTCATTTCCTTACTGTAAGGAAATGATATTTCCGTACAGTTGTTAGTGTTCTACATACAAGTTTGACAATTCAACCTCAATACGTTTCCATAGTAACCCAAGTAATTTTATTAGGAATTTCAAAGCACCATTTATTTGGGAATAAAATTATCGCGTTTTTTTTAAATCAATCAATATCTGTCGAATTTTAAACGATTTGCGGAAAAATAGTATGTTTACCTCGTAGGAAAAGCCACATTCCTGGATTCTGTGTTGCTAAGTCTCGGCTTGCGCCTCGACTTAGCAATCTTCACAGTCGTCCAGGAATGTTAAGCTTTTCCTACCCGGTAAACAATGTACTATTCCTCATAACTATGTTTGTAGCTTTTGTTTCCTTGTTATTTTTTTTGGTCACTATTAATCTTATTTCATTTGGTATTTTGAAAAGTTTTTAACAAAAGTTTTTTCCGCAAATCGCCAGGAAATTTTGACATTCCTGTCAAAATTTCTTGAAGAAAAAGTCAGGACTTCCTTACTGTAAGGAAATGTCATTTCCTTACTGTAAGGAAATGATATTTCCGTACAGTTGTTAGTGTTCTACATAAATGATAGAAAACACATTGCTTATAAGGAATTAATTTATATTTTAAAAACATCAAGTCACTGCTGAATACATTTTTAAGATCAATTTGTTATATTTACAGTAATTTGACAGTTAGTACAATTATTGAACATTGGAGGAACACTCTTAGAACTATGAGAAACATTTTGGACAACATGCAGGGTGGAAGTGTCATTTTGTTGAATATTTTGTACTGTGAAAATTTTATTTGCCACCTCAACCTTATTGTTAAGCGATTCTTCGATATATCCTTCAGCAACGTTTGATGACTTCCATCCGCCATGCCTCTTTAAACTAGTTATGTCGGCACCAGAGTCAACCAATATTGTTGCAGAAGACCGACGAAAGCAGTGACCAGTATATTCTGTCGGATTTACCAAGTTCAAATAGGTAGCAATTATTTTGGGCATTTTTCTAAATTGATGAATTCCTACCACTTGTCTACAACCCTTTCCGCTTTGATATTTAAAGAAAAATCGGTCACTGTTCATATTTTCTGGTCTTAACGAAACATACTTTCGATAAACATTCAAGTATATCTGATTAATTACAAATGATCTTGGTTTGTTGGTTTTCGAATCAGGTATGCTGATTAAAAGCTTAGATTTTAAGTCTTCTATATCGTGTAGTCATTCGGACTAACTCATCCATTCTACAGGCCCCAGAAATACCAAATATTACAGCCACCTAAAAAATAAATAAAGCTATAATCTAAATAGAAATTAAAACCTTGTAAATTACCTTAATCATTAAATTTTCTTTATCTGGAGCTTCCTGGATAAATTTTTCAATTTTTTCCTTCGTTAAAATCTTAGATTTCTTTGCCCTATAACCTTGAGCTTGCCGTTTCAATAAAGAACGAAGTTTTGAGTATGTAGATATATCTACATTGTGTTTTAGTGCAAGGGTTGACTTCAGCATTGAATAATTGGCCCATAATGTTGAAGATTTCATCTTTAAACAAAGGTCTAGGAAGTATGCCATTACAACATTTTCTGAGAAAGAACTCGTATTTTTACTCATGCGATAATCCATAAAACGTCTGTATGCATTTTCGTACTTTTCTCTTGATTTCTTTGGCAATAATTCTAATGAAGCAGTATTCACTGCCTCAACCAGCTCTGGAGGAGTCCCAGGAATGGAAATTTCATCATCACTTATTATTTTACTTTCGAGAACACCAGCAATTAAATTTATAAGCGTCAAGTTTGACAATTCAACCTCAATACGTTTCCATAGTAACCCAAGTAATTTTATTAGGAATTTCAAAGCACCATTTATTTAGGAATAAAATTATCGCGTTTTTTTTTAATCAATCAATATCTGTCGAATTTTAAACGATTTGCGGAAAAATAGTATGTTTACCTCGTAGGAAAAGCCACATTCCTGGACTCTGTGTTGCTAAGTCTCGGCTTGCGCCTCGGCTTAGCAATCTTCACAGTCGTCCAGGAATGTTAAGCTTTTCCTATCCGGTAAACAATGTACTATTGTTTGACAAGTCTAAAAATATATTCTCTATCGTTGTTTTACGCGTTTTAATTGCAATAGTATTTTGCCATTTTTGTGTGTCTCAAAAGTACATCGAAAGTTTACAGAAGAATTCGTTTTTTTCGGCAACAATTTTTACCATTGAGTTAATGTTAATCCAAAACTAATTTCATTATTTTTTTAGCCTGAAAAATACAAATACATAGGAGGTCAAATTTCTAGTCGATTTGGAGAAGAAGCTACCGGAGGGAAAGTGCCTGTCAATGTCATCTCAATTCCACCGTTAGGAGACATTTAGACTTAAAGAGAGATGAAAATTTCTCATTGTGGATTCCCAAACATAGAAAAATTGCTGGCGAATTAATTAATATCTACTTAGGTAAAAATATAGTCTTAGAATCATTAATTAAACATATTTTTTCTTATGAGTATAAGTTTTATTATTATTAAGGTTATAATCAATAAAATAATCAGTAGAGTAAAATTTATTGCACTTAAAATACAGTTTCAAACAGTTAATCTAGCAATCAAATGCAGTCAAGAATCTCTAGAAATTTTAAATATTAAGTACTTAATTATAATAACACAATACATTAACACGATATTTAAAAAGATAATTAAAAATTCAAAATATATAAAATTTGTTAAGTAAAAACTTAAAAAAAAAAGTAAAAAAATTCATCCTAAGAAATCAGACACAATATAAATATGGTTCTAAATGAATCTAATTGAAAATTAAATATTTTACTATTTACTTATAACTTTTGTTGAATTTTCATACTTAGGTATACGAAAGTAGCAATTTTAAATATGAATAGGTTTTTTGTCATATAGACCAAGTTAAAAGAGGTATACATAAAAAAATGTGTTGAATGTAACATACCATTTATAACTTGTATATCGATTTAAAATAGCCTATATTCTCAAAAGATTTTTGAATGTAATACTCAAATTTGTTATCACTTATTTAGATAGCAGATCTATATCGAGAAAGTAAGTTCTCTAATTGTGACCATCTTGTTAATTTACTATATTGTAAAATCCATTTCAAATCATTACTACTTAATCTATTCTTACCTACATTGACGATTACACTAAAATTACTGCTATTACACTACTCATTACACAAATATTATCACACTCGTGTCCCAACTGATTAATGTTTAATATATAGAAATATACAGTCACTTGTAATTTTACTTCTCCAGTTTTTCAATGGGATATTATTGTCTAAGTCTCTTAAAAATGATTCAAATAAATCTATTAAATTATTGTCTAAGAATTCTGTTATCTCTTGTTGCCTCTTCTTATGCAACAAGTTTCTTCTGTCTTCGGGATTCTTTCTTTCTTTAGTACGATGAACAGTGACATATGATGGTACTTCAGGAAATATATTAGGAACTGCATTGTCTTTTAATTTGGAAAATATTAACTTTTCAATGTGTCCATTTCCATCTTTATCTTTTCATTGTTCAGTCCCCTGAATATCATCTTCATGAAAATGTTTGGCACATACTACGGAAGATTTGGTAATTGTATAGCCTTCTCTATTAATAGAGCATAACCCAGTATTAACCTAGTAAGAAGGTAGTACCTTCTTTAGGGATCTTTGGGAAACGAAAACGTATTTTCTGACTGTTTCGATTTTAAAGTACTGGCATAATTGGTTTTGCAACCAAGTACACAACAATGCCAGGGCATCTGTAACAAAAAACAAAAGTATTATTATTGTTGTTTTTAGTTTACATATTTTATAACAAGAAGCAAAAATATTATTATTTTCAGTTTGTTTTGTAGGTTATATTTATACTTACCTTTTAAATTGTCGTTAAGAATCTTCTAAAAGTTTTAAACTTAATGAAATTTCACTTATATTAATATTTTCTAATTGATTTAAACACAATTTACGAATAAAACATTCGAATAAAGTTAAAAAAACACTAAATTCAACAAACTTTACAAGCCTTCCTATATGAAATGTTAAACAAAACAAACCACGGTCGGACTACCACGCGTTGTTGCCAAATTTCTACTTCATGGCTTGGAAGTAAAGGTGGCTGTGACAACACACATTGGCAAATATTTTCCTTTTGAGGCATACGAGTAGGTCTAATTTAAATACATAGTTTAATTAACCAAACGCTGTCCAGGTTAATCCAGCTCACATGTTTGATTATCTCTGTCTGCACAATATCCCTTCCATCAACAGCAATGTTTCGATTTAGTATCAGATTTTTTATTTAATATTATTTATTTTATTATACACTGATGATGGAATTTGCATTCCGAAAACGTTCTGGAATGTAATTGTGCTATAGCCCGTTTGGGTATTTCATTATATACTTTTTCTAAAGGATTTTAATTAAAAAAGTAAACAGCCAGCTACAGGAACTTAGTTTTCTAGTGGATTTTGTTTATATTAATCTTTAGTCCGACCTCCAAGGAAGCGTGATATAATTTTTCAAACATTATTATAGCATCATCAATTATCTGATCGGCTTTAAGGATAATGTTATCTGCAAATCTCAAATTACTGAGCTTTTCTCCATTTATGTTGATACCATGCCGTTTATGTGCCTTCTTATAAGTATGTTCTAAAATTCTAAAAGCGTCGGGAATAGTTTTGGAGAGACTGTGTCTTCTTGCCGTACTCTTCGCTGTATAGAGAATTTATTTGTTTCTTGTTCAGATAGTCTTACGCTAGCTGTAGCATTTTGGTATATATATATATATATATATTATATATATATATATATATATATATATATATATATATATATATATAGAAAAGAAATTTAATCTTTGCAGATAAGTTAAATAGTAAACTCTTAAATATTGGGGAAATCTGCAAAAAAAAATTCTAATGTGTATCAATTATTTCACCTAACGTTTTCGCCAAAGAGAATTTGGCTTCTTTAGGCCTGAAAGAGAATAAATTAAAATTAGCTACCATATATTATCTAATAAAAAACATTTACCTTACCGTGAAATTTTAGAAATGTCAAGTTATGATGTTAAAAAACTTTAGCTAGGAACAACATAGTGGTGTTTTTTTGTTACTATGTGCAAAAAAGTTTATTTGTTAACGTTGGAAATGTATGGTAGCTTTGAACTTGAAACGCAAAGGTTTACCCAAGGACAATCGAAAAGCCCAATGTAACTACATTTAAAGGAAGTATTTCTTTGAATTGTCGGCAATAACTAAATTTTTAATTGTTGTAAAGTTTGAATGTGAGCTTCTGTTTTATAGAACGCAAGCGCCGAAACAATTACAAGTAGTTCTTTTGATATCATTGTCGTTAAGGTTCATTGGTAAAACCGATGAAGTTAGATCCCAGTCTGGGAAGATATTAGTTTAGAATTTTCTTAATTGAAATTCTTTGTTTTAATTAGTATATTGTTCATGTATTATTGTAATAATATCTTATTAAGATGTATCTAAGAAAAGCAAGGGAATGTTATCTTTTTTTGTTAATGAAAATTATTATTAAAGTAGGTTAGTTGTTAATAGATATATCAGTCAAGTTGGTTATCTGTGATGTTGTATTGTTCTTGGTATCTGATTTAAGTAAGAAGTGGTATATATCGCTTAGATTCTTAATGTTACTCTTAACATTGATGGAAAAATCGTTAAGGAAAATATAAGACATTTCAATGAACTCTCTTTTAGATTTATTGTTCTCACGGTGGAGAATTGTAGTGTTCGTATAGTCCATGTGATGACCAGTGGAATGGACATGTTTGGCTAATGCATAGCGGTCAGGGTGAAGTCGAGAATCACTTTTGTGTAGTGTAATACGTGATTTCAATAATTGAGATGTTTGGCCGATGTAGGAATTGTTGCAAGAGAGGCATGGAATGTTGTAGACAATATTACTAAGCCTATCTATGGGAGTCTTATCTTTTACCTTCGAATAAAGATTATTAATTGTTAGGGCTGATCTACAAGCCACATTAAGTTTAATGTTATTATTATTATTAGAAAAGCTATTTTCAAAACTTTTTAGAATCCTTGTTAACCCCGGAGTGATATCTCTGAAATAGGGTAATGAAAAATATTTATTGATAGGAGTATCCGAGACTGGGTTCCTACTTAAGACATCAGGATCAGCATTGTTAGTCACGATGGAAGGTGAAGTTGAGATGGTAAATAAATATAATGGTTACATATTACCATCTAATTATGTCCTCGTTAGCCTTGATGTTGTATCCTTATTCAGCAACGTTTATTTAGGAATATGTTTGACATCAATAGAGATCAACTGGGACCGTATTAGAGGTTGTTGTTCCATGTCTTATGACAGATTCATCAGTATCGTCGAATTTCTCTTTAATAACACTTACTTCTCCTTTAATGGTAAATTCTATCAACAAACTTTCGGTACCCCTATGGGAGCAAAGATTTCTCCTATTATTGCAACTTACGTTATGGATTATGTGTTAGACTCAGTCATTCCTTTACTATCCTTTCAAATTCCATTTATTAAAAAATATGTTGATGATATAATTCTGGCTATACCCAATGACAAGGTAGATGAACTATTAGACACCTTTAATAGTTATGACCCCTACATCCAGTTCACTATAGAGAGGGAAGATGGTAATTGTTCCGTCCCCTTTCTCGACATAAGGATGATTAGGGAAATTAACAACATTAAAATAGATTGGTATCAAAAACCGACACATTCTGGTAGATACCTTAACTACCACTCTTACCATAATAACTCTACCAAAGTCAACTTAATCAAACAGATGAAAAATAGAGTAATTAAACTATCAGATCCATCATTTCATACAAAAAACCTACAAATCCTTCTGAAACTTTTTATTTCAAATTCTTATCCAACACCATTAGTAAATAAGATTTTGTTTAACACTATCCATAACGAAGATACTTCACCTTCCATCGTGACTAACAATGCTGATCCTGATGTCTTAAGTAGGAACCCAGTCTCGGATACTCCTATCAATAAATATTTTTCATTACCCTATTTCAGAGATATCACTCCGGGGTTAACAAGGATTCTAAAAAGTTTTGAAAATAGCTTTTCTAATAATAATAATAACATTAAACTTAATGTGGCTTGTAGATCAGCCCTAACAATTAATAATCTTTATTCGAGGGTAAAAGATAAGACTCCCATAGATAGGCTTAGTAATATTGTCTACAACATTCCATGCCTCTCTTGCAACAATTCCTACATCGGCCAAACATCTCAATTATTGAAATCACGTATTACACTACACAAAAGTGATTCTCGACTTCACCCTGACCGCTGTGCATTAGCCAAACATGTCCATTCCACTGGTCATCACATGGACTATACGAACACTACAATTCTCCACCGTGAGAACAATAAATCTAAAAGAGAGTTCATTGAAATGTCTTATATTTTCCTTAACGATTTTTCCATCAATGTTAAGAGTGACATTAAGAATCTAAGCGATATATACCACTTCTTACTTAAATCAGATACCAAGAACAATACAACATCACAGATAACCAACTTGACTGATATATCTATTAACAACTAACCTACTTTAATAATAATTTTCATTAACAAAAAAAGATAACATTCCCTTGCTTTTCTTAGATACATCTTAATAAGATATTATTACAATAATACATGAACAATATACTAATTAAAACAAAGAATTTCAATTAAGAAAATTCTAAACTAATATCTTCCCAGACTGGGATCTAACTTCATCGGTTTTACCAATGAACCTTAACGACAATGATATCAAAAGAACTACTTGTAATTGTTTCGGCGCTTGCGTTCTATAAAACAGAAGCTCACATTCAAACTTTACAACAATTAAAAATTTAGTTATTGCCGACAATTCAAAGAAATACTTCCTTTAAATGTAGTTACATTGGGCTTTTCGATTGTCCTTGGGTAAACCTTTGCGTTTCAAGTTCAAAGCTACCATACATTTCCAACGTTAACAAATAAACTTTTTTGCACATAGTAACAAAAAAACACCACTATGTTGTTACTAGCTAAAGTTTTTTAACATCATAACTTGACATTTCTAAAATTTCACGGTAAGGTAAATGTTTTTTATTAGATAATATATGGTAGCTAATTATAATTTATTCTCTTTCAGCCCCGAAGAAGCCAAATTCTCTTTGGCGAAAACGTTAGGTGAAATAATTGATACACATTAAAGTTTTTTTTGCAGATTTCCCCAATATTTAAGAGTTTACTATATATATATATATATATATATATATATATATATATATATATATATATATATTATATATATATATATATAAAATTATGTTGGTAAAGCGATGGTCTATTTAGCTTTCTGTCAATTATTTTAACATTTTCTGATGGCTTATACTACGGCTTACGCTATTGTATTTTGCAGACTTCTCCATCGGGTTCTTTATCTTTAGTAAGTAGTCATTAGTGCTATATCCCGATCTAAATACAGCTTATTCTCTAAGCTGATAAAAGTCTAACTAATAAGGGGCTGATTCATGTGCATTTATTATGGATAAATTTTACTGATGTAAGAAGTTTAGCAATCTTTGCCCTCATTCATTTTTTTCGCCATATCAATACTTATCCATTGCTACTTTTGCATCATCTTGTTTATACCCAATTTTTATATTTAAGTTTTAAATGCTTGTCGCCCATCATTATTGCGTAATATGCTGGTGTGGCACGTAACACTGTTTAGGTCCTCATAAAATTCTACAATTTCTTCATACGAGTGGGGAGTCATCATATATTTCACCATATAAAGCGTCTTCTTCTCCTCTAAAATGAAATACATGTTCTAATTTAAGAGTAATCTGCGCTTCTCCTATTCGTCTTATTTAAATGAGACCGATAGTGTCCCATTTTATTTCTTTCAGCTCTTTTCCAGTTCCATCATGTTCTGATCTGATATAAGAATTCTAATATTGTATGCTGATAAGTAAAGCCTTTTTACTAGCCAACACGCATGCTTGGCTAGTGCGTGTTGGCGAGTTGGTTTGGAAGTGGAGGGAGGAAGGGGTGAAGATGAGATTGCTATATTTTATTCTGATTTAAGTAATGACAGTCTTAAAGTTGTAACATAATTCCACTTTGCCTCTTCTGATAACAACACCAAAGATACGTTTATGAAAACATAATTATATATTAATTACAGTAAGTAAGCGATGAAATATCAAATATCACTTTTAACTCTTTGTTCGTTTATTAATGTTGTGTCTCGCTTTACGTGTTTCGTTAAGTTATTATATGTTTTACAATAAAATATTCTCAGGTCTGAAATCTGGTCTGGTAGAAGGTAAAAGGATTACCTGCCGAAACGTTGATTTTAATAAAATAATAAAATCTAGTTCTAAATTTAACAGTAATTCATCAACCAGCCTTCATTCATCACGTCCACTGCTAAACATAGGCCTTCCTTAAACTCCTCATTTTTTGCGATTTTGTGCTCTTTGTTGCCAATTTTTGGTGATACGCTTGATGTTGTGAGCCCAACGTGTAGGTGGTCTTCCTCTACTACGTTTGTCTGATCTTAGCCTCCAATGTGTAATTTTACAGCCCTTTTTTACTTAGCCTCGTACATCGTGAGTCATGTATTTTCATGGCTACATGTCCTTCCCAATTCCATTATAGTTCCACACTTAAACTATGTATTCCAAAATATCAACAATATTCGTCATTCTTTGCAGACCTTCGTTTCTTATTCGGTTTCGCAACGGTACTCCCAGCATACACCGTTCCATTCGTCTCTGTGCCACTCCTAATTTCGAGTCGCAGTCTTGGTTAGAGTTATAGTTTTCCCCCATAGGTCATGACCGGTAATACGAATTGGTCAAATACTTTTCTTTTAAGGCTAATTGGTATGTTGGCCCTAAGTATGTCTCGCAGTTTTCCAAATGCTGCCCACCCTAAAGTAGTTCGTCTCTTGATTTCGCGTGTTTAGTTATCTCTGCAGATTCTTATTTCATGGCCCAAATACTTATATTTCTCCACCAGTTTTACCACTTTGTTTTAAATAGTTAATTGGTTATTGGAAGACCATTAGATATTTGTTGGTCATCGTATTTTAGTTTATCTTACTTACTACTTACCTACTCCCCTCTTGCCTTCAATCTTCCCCTGGATGATTAGTTGAGGGATTAAGTATTTTTTTTTTCTCTCAGAATATGGCCGAGATATCTCATTTTTCGTACGTTGATCAACTCGAGTAGTTCTCTCCCAGTATTTGCCTTTCTTAAGACTTCCTCGTTTTTCACCCTATCTATCCATGGTATGCGGAACATTATGGAAGGTACTCTTAACGTCCATGTTTCTATGCCGTATAACAAAATGGACCACACATAGCTTTTAACTATCCTGCAGCGGAGATTGAAGGGAAGATTGCGGCTACATAGTACTGGTTTAAATTTGATAAAATCATGTCGTGTTTGTTCGGTACGACCTACGTGCGGCTCTCGGAGATAAGAATACGGCCGAGGCCAGAAGACTCTGTCTGTCGTAAGAGGCGACTAATGGGTGGGCAATGAGAGGAGGAGAGCCGTCGTTGGAGGTGTCGGGTTTGTAGAAACGCACTCGAGATGAAATAGCCATCTTGGTCACCGATCTACATTCCTAGTATCCGAGACGAGCATCTCGTGGGACCACTCTACTCTCATTTACACAAGAGCTAGGTGAGGTTAAACGGGCTGGGACCGTACATACCTCCCAAGACCTTACACCACCGAGGGTGGTGTGCTGACCCGGCAAGTACCCGTGGTAGAGGAGCAATTCCTCGGCGGTGACCTGTCTACGTGCGAGGGCTTTACCGCCCTTTTATTTATTTCGTCTTTTTATTTCATTTATTCGGAGACCCAGACTACCGTCGCCTTTTACTTGTTCGATTGGAGCACTATCTACTTGCAGTTGTATTCTTTAAAGTGCATTTTTTCTAATTGCCATGCATTTAGTTTTTCCAGCATTTATCTTCAAGCCATATATTTTTCATACAGTGTTTATTTTACTTAACATCTACTGCATATCATGTTCGTTATCTGTTATTATCGCGGTGTCGTCGGTGTAACGTATGTTATTTATCGGAAACCCGTTTACCTTTATTCTACACTCAGGGCCTTCCAGTGCCTCTGCAAAAATTTTCTTCACATAGAAATTAAAGAGTATAGGAGACAAAATATACTCCTGTCGCACCCCTTTTAAAATTTCAAAGTTTGAGTTTGTACATGTAATTTATTTTTCGTATATTTTAGGAATGCGTGATGTTGATGATCTGCTTTCTGTTGCGGTTTATACCCGTGACAAAGTAAATCCGTACCTCTTCAACTACTGTCTCTCAGTAGCATTGTATCACAGGCCGGATACCAAGGATATCGATTTGCCGTCATTTATTAGAACCTTTCCAGATAAATACGTGGATAGCAAACTGTTTGGTCAAGCTAGGGAAGAAGCGACTATTATACCTGTGGGATCCAGAGTAAGTTTTAAATACGTGTCAAATATGTACTCTTTTTATTTTTCTACCCGTACTAATAATTAAATCCTACGCAAATTTTTCAATCAAATTAAAAACTGACTGTAAAAGTTATGTATCTCTGCCTAACATAAAAGACCTGGCGTAGTACCAAACTAACCAATACATTTTTAGTGAAATCTACTACATTATTATTTAAAAATAGTTTGTATTTCCAACCTGTAAAAAATTAATCCTATTCACTCATTCAGTTGTTAGTCTTTTACTTATGTTAAGTATATATTTTGAATAATGCGTTACACAGTAGTGATCTATCCGATCACTGCTTAATCAAAATCCAGGATCACAATAATAGCATACTATATCCGTACTATCAGCTAACGAAAATTCACTATTAGATCGTTAGAAAAATCCTAATCCTCTATTGATAAGGTAAAATTGCTATATAATAAAGTTAACTAAGTTCAAAAGATCAATTATCCCCCAGTTGCAAATTACTTATTTACATAACGACCTTAAAATATCACAATACACTACTTAGCACGATCCGCCCTAAATGATTTTAACCCATGTGGTAGTGCTTTTTATAGCAACGAGTATAGAGGATCTACAACATCTTATCGAAAGCTTGAGTATAAATAGTGCTGAGATGGGAATTACTATAAACGCTAAAAAAACGAAGTACATGCTGATTACAAAAAGGCCACAAAATATACATCACCTATTGACAATAAATGGTAACGTGATAGAACAAGTAGAAAAATATCAGTATTTGGGAACTTTGATCAATGAAACCAATGATCATACTGTAGAAATAAACAGACGAATAGAGATTGCCAGATCAGCATTTATACGAATGAAGCCACTCCTAACGTGCAAAAATCTAAATTTGGAGATCAGACTACGTACCATTCGCTGTTATATATTTTCAATATTATTATATGGAGCTGAGACTTGGACATTAAAAAAATGTAATTTAAAAAGAATCGAGGCTTTCGAACTCTGGTTATACCTCAGATTATTAAAAATATCATGGACTGATAGAACTACAAATAAAGAAGTACTGGAGAGGGTTGGTAAAGAAACAGAACTAATCACCACTATACAAACCAGAAAACTGGAATACCTAGGCCACGTGATGAGGGGACCAAAATATGAAATTTTGAGACTGATAATACAGGGAAAGATTCAAGGAAGAAGATCTGTTGGCCGAAGGCAGAACTCATGGTTAAAGAATCTACGTGATTGGTACCAATGCAGATCGATTGATTTGTTTAGAGCAGCAAGTTCTAAAATAAAAATAGCCATTATGATTGCCAACCTCCGTAGGGAGACGGCACTCTAAGAAGAAGAAGGTAGTGCTTTAGATACTTTGATATTTAGACGGAATGTTATCTAAATTCTCACTTTCTGCCTTAAAATCACTGTCTTTAATGTAGTCACTTTGTTCTAAATCATTATCATTAAAAAAATCGACCTACCCAATAATCGCTTGAGACTGCATCAATCAGTAAATCTATTTTGAAACTTAATGAAATTTTATATTGTGCGTGATGTAATATGGCCAAAATGACAGTGAGATTGAATTAATAGATTATATAAAATACTCGTTTGCTAATCTTGTATTACAATCTTCTTCTTCTTCTCTGGCTTTACAACTCGGGGTGAGTCTTCGCCGCATCCACTATCGCCCTCCATCCTCTACGATCTTGCGCTTCTATTTCCCATTGCTGTACCCCAATTCTAGATAAATCGGCTTCAACATCATTCTTCGATCTTTTTCTCGGTTGGTCTACTGATCTTCTACCATCTGGTCTTTTAAAAAACACTTTCTTTTACTCTGTCACCCTCTGATCGTACCACGTGACCTGCCCATCTTATTCGGTTTGTCTTGATCTGTCTAACTATGTTTTCAGTTCCATATAGAGTCACTAATTCAGTATTACGGCGTCTTCTCCAATCCCCTGTAAATTGATTTCTTTAAGGGCCAAATATTATTCTGAGAATCTTTCTTTCAAATACTAGAAGCTTATCGAATTCCCGCTGTTTAAGAGTCCATGTTTCACTGCCATATGTAATAATTGGGCGAATAATCGACTTGTACAGTGTCAGTTTAGATTTTCTTTTTAGGAGCTTCGATCTTAATAATGTTAAAACGGAGTATAATACTCTATTTTCCGCAACTATTCTTTTTAAGACCTCTTTTTATATGTGGTTGTCAGCTGTGATTATAGCCCCCAGATATTTAAATTCCTTTACTACTTCCAAGTTGTGATAATTAATGCTGATGTTCTGCATAATTCTTGGTCTTGGATTTTTGGTTACTACCATTTATTTCGTTTTTTCTTCATTTATTTATTCGGAGGCCCAGACTACCTGTTTCCTCCTTCAGTTGTGAAAACACCTCTCTCACGTCTCTCGTAGAATACGTGATTACATCTATATCATCAGCAAAGGCCAGTAACAGTTTTAATCTTTGATCAGCAAATCCTCCTGTCAGCTCAGACGATATTTTACTTATTGCATATTATAAAGCAAAATTGAACACCAACGGTGACAAGGGGTCTCCTGCCTAAGTCTTAAATTTGTAACAAATGGCATCGATGTTCCGCTTCCTATCTTTACTTGCGCATATGATTTTGTCACGCACATTTGCGTTAATTCGACTAATTTTCTCTAATATTTGTCTAATGGTAAATATCTGATCTATAGTTGACCTTCCAGCACGAAAGCCGCATTGGTAATCGCCTAGAATATCTTCCGAATATGGTGTGAGTCTCTTTAGCAAGATAATTGATAGCACTTTATATTATGATGTGCTAATAAGCGATATGCTTCTACAGTTTCGGAATTGTTCTTTGTTTCCTTTCTTCTCTAGGCATTTCATGGGAATTATAACGCTTCCATTCCATTCTCTAGGCATTTTCTGTTGTTGCTATACTGTATTACCATTACCATATTTTATAACAATACGTTTTTTTTTATTTAGAGACCAATTGAAATTGTTAAGGACTTTACTGCTACTGATTTGGAGTTAGAACATCGTTTAGCTTATTTTAGAGAAGATTTGGGTATTAATCTACATCATTGGCATTGGCATCTGGTATATCCTTTCGACGGCGCAATGCAAGTAGTTAATAAGAATAGAAGAGGAGAATTGTTCTATTACATGCATCAGCAAATAGTCGCAAGGTAATGTATCCATAAATATTTTTAACTTTTTATTATTTTTGGAAATATGTTTTCTTTTTAATGTTAAATGGTTTTTGTAGCATTCAATAAGTTTATTAAGATACGAATGGTTTCAGCTGCTGGGTATCAATCTTTTAGTGTCTTTTATTTGTGTTACAAATAGTGACACATATACAAAAGTATTTAAATTTGTTTTTTTTTTTTCTTCTTCTTCTTCTTCTTCTTCTTCTTCCTTTTTGTATGTAGGCTTTAAGGTTTAATTTTAGTCTCCTAAATTGTTTAAATTGTCGCACCATCTTTTTCTTGGTCTGCCACTACTTCTTTGTCCATTTGGTGACTTATATCTCATGCTATTCGTGCTGTTCTATCCTCTACCATTCTATTGATTTGTTCGTTCCACTCCTCTTTTCGTTTTGTCACCCATCCATTTAGGTCTTCTATATTAAATGCTCTTCTTATGTTTTCTCTTCTCTCCCTATCCAACAGACTTTTCCATGATTTCGTCGAAGTATTTTCATTTCTGTTGTTTCTAGTAGTCGTCTCGTTTGGGATGTATTAGGTCTTGTCTCCGCCGTGTATGTTAATATAGGTCCAATTTCTGCTTTATAGATTCTTGCTTTTATATCTTGTCTTAGGTGTTTGTTCTTCGAGATTGCGTCATTAAGAGATCCCGCCGCTTAACTTATTTTTAAGCTTTGTTGTCGTACTTCTTCTTCAACACCACCGTAACTAGTTATATCTATTCCCAGATATCTAAACCTTGCTTCCTGCAATTTTATTTTTTTTTATTTTTTTTTCTATTTTTTTTAAATAATATACAAAAAAAATATTCGATAAGAAAGTAAAAATTATTCTTATAACCCGCATCGTTCTTCCAGAGTTCTTTATCTTTTGCATCCATCTCGGTTCACCATGTTGTTTCGTTGTGGTCTTCTATCTTTGACCTTTTTATAACGCCAAGGTCTCGAATAATGTATAATTATTTTATTTCACCGGTCATCCTTCTATACTAAGTATATTCAGCAAATTTCAATTAATGTTTTACTACTTAAATCAAGTCGACTTTTATTTTGGTTCTACTACTAATTCAGCTGTTTCTTTTTCTATCTGACAGCTTAATGTTGAGCATCTATCTCTTAATATAACTTTGCGTTTTCGCTTTCTATTTTATATTATCCTTAGTAAATGTCCAAATTTGACATAGTGGTAGAAGGGAAGAGATTGTACACACTGATCAAAAACCTTCGTTTTTAGATACTACAGATATTTTTGTTCTTTAACTATGTAAGAGAATTAACTAAATATTGTCCAAGCCAGTCTACTCCTTTTTTAAATTTTCTTCCTATGATTTTCCTTGTTTAGTTTTGTGATATGCTATAAATATGCATATTTATCCACTAGTTCTACTGTAATATTGAGACTTTGCTTTCCTTAGTCATAGTTTAGTTTTATCACAGGCTATCCTACATTTAATCCTATTTTTCTTAATTCGGTATTCAACTCAATCATTTTTTGCAATTATTTTTTTTTTTAGCATCTACATCTTCAAACTGATTGAATCCCATCAGTTAAATCTATTATTGTATTCTCTTCGACTCTACTCAAATTTAATTGCTAATCGCATCTTAATTTTTTTTATTAGATATAACTTTGAGCGACTTTGTCATGGCATGAAGCGAACCGAAAGGTACATTAATTGGAGAAAACCAATTGAAGAGGCTTACTTTCCTAAATTGGATAGTTTGGTTTCAAGTAGAGCTTGGCCTGCACGAGTTGCTAATCAAACATTATCGAACCTTAAGAGAGAGGCTGATCAGATAACGGTGGATGTCGATGATATGGAGAGGTGGAGGGACAGAATTTTCGAAGCTATTCAATCTGGTAGAGTACAAGACGTAAGTATCAAAAAATGTTTAACACTTTTAATCAATATAAATTTCTATTTAAAGTTCACAATGCTAGTAGCTTTTAAACCTTTATGAAGTAAATACTTCTTATCGCTTGGTAAGCCTATATGTTTTTGCACGGGACCAAAATAATCCCATGAGTGACCAAGACGCTTGCAGCAACTTTGCGGTATACTACACATATGTATTATATATACATAAAAGTTGAGTCGATAGTTCTTTACCCGTGCTTCATCATATCATCATCGTTATAATCATCCAGCCTTCATTTATCACGTCCACTGCTGGACATATGCCTCCCTATTTAAACCGCTACTATGTAATCGCAATCTTTCCTTTAATCTCCGCTACAGGATAGTTAAAGGCTATATATGGTCCATATTGTTATACGGCATGGAAACATGGATGTTAAGAGTAACTTCCATTAATAAGTTGGAGGCTAAATGTCATGGCTACGGAACATAAAGAACTAGACAGGCATAAATAACACTGGCGATCTTTTGCATGCCGCAAAAGCCTTAAGATAATTCGCCAACGCACTATAGGTGCACGGCACTATAAGAAGAAGATAAAGCATATGAAATAAGTCGGAAATTTACTGCATGCATCTGAAAGAGACAAAAAGTAGCTGCTGATCTGATCACGGATTATATTAGAAAATATGACGTTTTAAAATAAAAAGAATTTAAAATGTTAGTTTTGCTTTAAAATTTTGGTGCAGAATTACAGCTACATTTGAAGTAGCTTAATAAAGTCTTTTAATATTATTAATAAATTCAATAATTAAAATTTAATAGTTTAAAAGCAAAAGCAGCATTCACTAGAATGAGAACCATTTTCAACAGTCGAGACATATCATTAGAAACAAAATTCCGTCTATTGAACTGCTACATATTCACAGTTCTACTCTACGGAATGGAAACGTGGACACTGACTGTTGCATCTATGAATCGGCTCGAAGCTTTTGAAATGTGATATTATAGGCGCATCTTACGTATATCCTGGGTTGAAAGAGTTACTAATGTGGAGGTCCTGCGTAGAATGGGGAAAAATGTGAAATTCTCATGACCGTCAAAAATAAAAAGTTGGAATATCTAGGACATGTAATGAGAAATCAAGAACGTTACGGCCTTCTCCAGCTGATTCTCCAAGGGAAAGTAAATGGTAAGAGAGGACCGGGAAGCAGACGCATTTCCTGGCTTTAAAATTTACGAAAGTGGTATAACACGACTACCACTGAACTGTTCCGCGCTGCAGTAAACAAAGTAAAGATTAAGAAGAAGAATATTGTTAGTGATTAATAAATAAATAAGCAATAAAAAAAATAAATAATTAAATATATTTATATACAATGTGTTGATGTAATGGGTAACTGTGTTTAGCTCAAATAATATTGTTGCAAGATTTTTAACGTATTTTTTTCATTGCCTTCAGAATCTGAACTGATATTTTCATTTTTTCATTTATTTTCTAAATTTTGAAAATTACCAAAATCAAAAAAAAAATTAAAGAAAAAACTAGGATTTTTTTAATTTTAAAAATATTTAATGCGTGGTGTCATTAAAAAAATATTATTCATTTAGTAACAAGCAGAGATACAATTTTATTAACATACACACAGTAATAACGTGCTATAAGAATTGTTCACTTCTGTCTGCATTACCCAAGTGCCACACGCCGTTTTTATTAAAATATTTTGATATATTATTTTTCATTTTAAAAACGCTAGTCATATTTATATTTAATAAATTCTAACCAAAGACTGAAATGACCAAGAATAAATAATGTATTTAAAATTAATTATTTGTTGTTACTAGTGGAGCATAGATCTCACGTAGACAAACTTATCAACCGGTGCAATATCGTTTCAGCTAACCTTTTGAATCTAGAATCTTATACTTACGTCTTTTTTGAGATTATTCAATAAGTATTTATTATTTCACTATTTTTTATACCCTTCCTTTCGACTTTTTTTATCCTTTCTTTTTTTACCCTAGGGTATATTATGAACGATTTGTGTAAGTATTAGTATTCTCATACTTAGAAACTAACTTTAACTTAGAAGTAAAATAATTTACTTCTTTTGATTTTGTACTACTTATCATGTATGTATATATTTGAAAAATTTGGAATACGGGTGTAACCGGGGCTATGATTAGGTACATTATTAAAATTTTATTTTACCTTGATTTTTATTTTTTAGAGAAATGGTCGAACCATTTTGCTAGACGAAGCCACAGGAATAGATACCTTGGGCAATATGATCGAATCCAGTATTCTTTCACCCAATAGAGATTTTTATGGAGATATACATAACATGGGTCATGTATTTATTTCATATATACACGATCCAGACCATAGACATCTAGTAAGTAGTATTTTATGTTTGTATAAACTGTTTATTTGAGAATAGATACATCTCCAGATACCAAACACGTGTTTGTGGTTTTATATCTCTTATTTCATATTTCTCATATTTCTTTATCGACAAAACTTATTTACCTTAATACATCTCTGTAATAGGTCGAGTTTTCGTTAAATATCTTCTTAATTTTTAACTATCTCGTAAATTACAGACCTTTTTATATATATTTAATAACTGATTGTTTAAATAAAATCTGTATCGCAAAACCAACAAGTTATTAAAATAGGTCATCATCATCATTCTGGCTTTACAACCGTTATGTCCTAGCCTCCTCAAAAATTTCTCTCTAGTCGTCTCTATCCATCGCCTTCCTCCACCAAGCACATATTCCCATATTGCTCATGTATTCATCGATGTTATCAAGGAATCTTGTTGTGGGTCTTCCTCTTCTTCTTTAACCAATGGGTCTATCAAGGAGCGTTTTTCTAGCCGGGTCAATTTGTTCCATCCACATTACATACTCTATCCACCTTAGATGTCATATCTTGATATATTTTACGATTCCTGGTCCTCCTTCTCAATCTTTCTCCTTGGTAAGGATGTCGCGGCGTCATGTAATTTGTTTTAATATTTTTGTCCAATTATCTCTCTCCTCTGCTTGTTGTTTTGCTTCGGAGAATCAGTAACCAGTCATCTCCTTTATCGTACTGGAGATCTTCCTCTGAATCTTTTACCCGCTACGTTACCTTCAACTGTCATTTGTTCCATGTCTTCTCTTCTTCCAGTTGTAATATGTATTGTAAAATATCTCAGTATATTTTGGTTGATAGTTGTGATGTGTCTAGTTTTTATGATAGGTTCTGCTAGAATGGAGTTATTTTTGCGATGGGTAGTCCATGGTATGCGCAACATTCTACGATAGACCCACATTTCAAATGCCATTACACGCTTTGACTCGGAGTTTTTTATTGTTCAAGTTTCTGAAGCATATGTGGCGATAGGAAATAATGCTCGAACAAGGTGTAATTTTGTATTTTTTGTGATGTCAGTGTTCTTCCAAATTTTTGTGTTTTTCATCACTTTGGTTTTCTGTTTATTTATTTTCAAACCATATTCCGTACTTACTGTGCCTAGCCTATTCATAATTTGTTCCAGTTCTTCTGGTGATGATGCCAATATAACAGTGTCATCAGCATAACGTAGGTTTTTAATTTTTCTTCCTCCTATCGTTGCTTCACCTTACCATTCCTCAAAAACTTGACGCATATGTTCACTATATATATTAAATAGAATAGGGGATATTATGCATTCCTGTAGAACTCTAGATTTGAATTTAAAGTTTTTTTGAAAAAAAAATTATTAACTCTTACATTAGCAGTATTATTTACATATAGTTTTTGTAATCAATAGATTAGATGTTGTAGAATACCCATATATCTAAGTATATGTCACATTTTATTCCATTTTATGGTATCAAAGTTTATCGAATGGTCAACTAAGCATAAATATGTTTCTACGTTAAACTCTCGATATTTTTCGATAATCTGATGAATATTAAAAATATGTTCTCTTATTCCTCTACCTGGGACGAATCCGCATTGTTCTTGTAAAATTTGTGGTAAGAGAATTGATTTTAGTCTTTCATTGATGATGGTTAGAAGTACTTTGCACGCGTATGATATCAGTGCTACTGTGCGATAATTACTGCAATCTGTCAGTTAACCTTTTTTATACATGGGAATAAATGTGTGTTTACCCCAGTCATTTGGCCACTTTCCGGTATTCCAAATCTCATTGCAAATTCTAAGCATTACTTTCGTCCCTTTTTTTGTGTTTCAGATGTTATTCCATCTTTTCCTTCTGCTTTTCTGGATTTTAGCTTTTTAATTGCCGCCTTAATTTCTAATTTCAATATTTGAGGTTCTTTTTCATAACTTCTTTTCTCTGTATTTGTTGTTAGACAGTTGTCAACTTTGTTGTTAGAGAATAGTATTTAGCAATATTGTTTCCACACCTCTTCGATACTGTTTGGCTTTGTTTTTAGATTCTTGGCGGTCAGCAGATTCCTCTAGTTGTACACACAATCATGTTTTTAATATAATTATTTTTATCCCTTCTGCACAAGTGTTTTATAGTTGTATTTATGGTGCGTATCTCTATTTATTTTTGTTTTGAATTTAATGTGCCGTTTCTAAGTTTTCGTCTTTCTTCTACAATATTGAGAGTGTCTTCAGTCATCCAATGACTTTTCCTAGCTGTTTTGTCTTTGGGATTAGTATTGTTGATGGCCTTAGTGATATACTTCTTTGTGTATTCCCATGTTTTGTCAGGGTCTCCGGTAGTCACTGGTTCCTGCTATATTCTATAAAGTTCGGAGTTGTATTGTCTTCTCCACACTTCATTGTTTTATTAGATTTGCCTTAGTACTTTTCTTTCGAAACATCGGTCCAGGTCTCTAACTATATCCTAGGACTGGGCCTATTATTGTTTTGTAGATTTTTATTCCTGTACTTCTCGATAACAGCATCTCTTGGCTATGCAAATTCTGCGGTTTATCTCTGTGGTGGTATTATTCTTAGTGTCAAGGAGCGCTACCAGATATACAAATTCGTTCACTGTCTGGATGACGTTATTGTCTATAATAAGTGATCCTAGGATTTGTGGTTGCGTGCTTATTTTCATATACTTTATTTTGTTGGTGTTTATTAATAAACCCAGTTTTGTAGCTGATTCTTTTAACCTCTACCGCTCTCCTACGTTCTCTTAACAATACTGATATCATCAGCATAGGCCAGGATTTGCACTGATTTAATATATACTAAACCAATGGTTGGGACTAAGGTTGCCCTTTATAAAATCGGCCACCTTTATTATAAATTTCTTGATTAGAGGGTACTTTTTCCCCCACAGCCTGGGCTATATTTGAAATTGAATTACCAAAATTGACAAGCAAGAAACATTTTTATTCATAGAAAATTGTGCACATTTTTTATATTCTATGAGACATATATATTTATATATTTTCTAGGAATCTTTTGGAGTGATGGGTGATTCCGCAACTGCTATGCGCGATCCTATGTTTTATAGATGGCACGCATATATTGATGATATTTTCCAAAATTTTAAATCATCCTTGCCTAGATACACATATCAACAGGTAAATCGAAATATGATAATAAACTCTACTTTGTATTTACTATTATTTAATTTTTTTTAGCTAAATTATCCAGGAGTTACAGTCGACAATGTAACAATAGAATCATCACAAGGACAACCAAACATTTTAACCACCTTCTGGAAACAATCTGATGTTGATCTATCTCGCGGAATGGACTTCCAACCACGCGGTGCAGTGTTTGTTCGTTTTACCCATTTGGACCACCATGAATTTAAATACCGAATTACAGTTTCAAATAACGGACCGGCTAAACAAGGAACATGCAGAATATTTATGGCTCCCAAACACGACGAAAGGGGCAATCCATGGTTATTTAGAGATCAGAAACACATGTTTATTGAACTTGATAAGTTCAAAGTTAGTCGTAAGTTTCATTTTTAATTTATATCTCTATTCTGCTGTTGTTAAAAAAAAAACGTCCCAAAATTTCGTGCAAATACATCCTTGACAGCCGTACATTAAAGCTGGTAAATATTTATGCTTGAAATAACCTTTGTTTGAAGATACTAGAAGTACAGTCATTCGGGGTAACTTTTAAATATTTGATGATTTACTTTTTAAATATTTTCTTGATTTATTGTTACACTGACTTCCTTAGTTGTCCTTTTATATTATATTATAACTGTGTATAGTTCGATATTGTGTTACCAAGCTTAAAAATTTGCAACAGTAGCAAGTATAATTAAGAAAAAAATGTTTGGCATGGTTCAAAGTTAGACCCGCTATGGGTGTAACTTTGAACCATATCTAAATTTATAAAGAAAATTCTATATATTTGGTATTTTAAACTATCAGGACAACGTTGCAAGAGTGCATTAGGTTACTTCGAATGTACAAAAATTACACAGCACAAAATGTTTAGCCCAAGCCTGGTTACCATTCTGTTTTATATGACTGTACATGGCTTGATTCAACAATATGTACTCTAAAACTAATTTATGTAATAGAAAACTAATGTCCAGCAAAACAATACTAAATAAAGATTCTTCGTTAGTTTACTATTATAATATATATTAAATTTTTCACTCGATAGGTGAATCACATAGGTCACATAGGTCAATCACAGTTTCTTTAAACAAGTGGCACAAATAAACATATTTTAATTTGATTTGTGGAAGTTTCTTATTTTCAATGCACCTCAAATGAAAATATTCTTATGCACTTTTTACATTTTATACCTAATGAATGCATAGAAACATTAAAAGTGCAAAATAACATAATACAGAAGATATTTCTTGTTTTTAAAATTAATAGCTTTTCCAATTTGTTCTGTTGTGCCTTGCGTTCCTTGTTTACTTTACTGCAATTTTTAACTTTATTTTATTACAACGTTATTACAATATCTACTGGCATATTGTCAATGTCTAAATTGTAGCCAATTGAGCCCTCGACTATAATTTCAGTCATATTGGTTTCTTCCAAAATTTGCTGACCATGCAGATCTCCATAATCCAGCATGTGTTCTTGATTTACCTCATCAAGGTCTTCTCTTTCTTGCACATTGTCCTCAGGTATGTATTCTGCTTCTTGAACAGTTCTGTTGGTCGTAATAGATTCTTGCGATCTATGAACCCCTCGTATTTTTGGTCCACCTCGTGTTTTTGGACCGCCTCGTGGTTTTGGTCCACATCTTGTTTTTAATCCACCTCGTGGTTTTATTACATCTTGTGGGTTCGGTCCACCTTTTGGTGTAGATTTTCTAGTCTTGCTAGTAGTTGAACTCCTGTTTTGATAATACTGGTTTACTTCTTCGACTGAAACACTTTTGCTAGCAGTTATTGCAAGACAGAATTTTTTTTGCCCTCGTTATGTTTTGCAGGTTATTTTCACGAATCTTTTCTACGTATAATTTAAATTCTTTTCCAATGTCTTCATTTATTTCATCCATTGGTCGAGCATACAACGGAAGTTTTAGCAATGCCTTGTTTCTATCAGTGGGATAAATTCGTGAAGCCTCAAACATCTTTTTGAGATTACGAGCTGCAGTGTCCTTTGCGAGGTCCACGGTTGGTTTGAGAAGTTGGCAAAATACTAATTTTGGCATAGCTACTGTCTTTCTTCCTCCCTTGGTCGCTCTCCACTGGGTTAAAATTTGGTGCCAATATGTTTTAAGACTCCATATCCAGCGGTTGCAGTAAGTGGGTAGAGTTTGAACGGAAAATATTAAACGAGCATTATGTTCCCTTGTAAGTGTTAATATCTTTATTGAAATATCTGCTGACATGTTATCGCCAATCAAGATCTTTCTACCTTCGTTTTTGTTGGCGTACGGTAGAAAATGTGTCTTAAACCAGTCATCAAATACAGAATTTTCAATCCAGCGCGATTTTGAGGTGTTCAACTTCGTACCATAGGTGCACCAAAAATCATTTGCACTTGTATAACACAAAGTGGTAAAACAAGATATCGTTGAATTTATAATTCTCTCTGGATTCCTGCACCCTTTTCTGAATAAAAGTTTTCTTTTTGTTGGAACGTCATGGATCCCTGTTTCATTGTTATTGTAAATATTGCTGGGTGCGACATCAGAAAATTTTATCTCCAAGTTAACAAACAACTTACTTATTATTTCTTCATTTACTTGAGCCCTCCTTCCCGAAATATTCATTTGAAACCGTTGAGCAAGTTTTGTGTGGTTTCTCTCCAAAAATAATTGGCTCCAATCCCAGCCTTGTAAATTTTCCTTAAACTGTGATACTTTTCTCGCTTGAGAATTTACTTAACTTTGTGCAATGCATCTTACATCCAACAAAGATATTGGAATTCCATTATCACTTAAAGATATAACATGCTTGGTTATCGACTTTTCTTCGTCTCAAAAAAATACTGTAGGTCTTCCTAATTTTTTTGAATGATTCGGTTTTAATTTATTTCGAATTGTATTACGCAAGATACCGTATTGTTTTTAGGCTTGCCTTTCACTTAGCATTCCACACTTAACCTATTATAGTGTAACGATGAGTCCAAGCCATCACCGTTAAACTAGCGTGCGCGCGAACCAACCCATGAAGTAGGAGTGTATCGACAGTAGAAAGGGCAAAACTTTGCTATATAAACCGCATTATTTCCTCAGTGAGGCAGAATCGTCAGGTGTTGACTGAAGGTTCTCTTCTTCCCTACCCCGGCTTGTGGACGTGTTGAGTTCACAAGTTGTTTCCGTTCCATACCGCCACCCGGAGAGCGTGTTGAGCTCTCCATTACCCGTACTCCGAAGCAGTCATGTTGAGACTATCGAGGAGTGTCCTATTAACCCGAATCACTTAAGGGACGTGTTGAGTTCCTTTCTTTTCTTTGTACCTATCGTCCGCTGTTATTACAACGTTCACGTAAAATTCCGAAAACACACTCGATTGCCGATAAGACGAACTTCATACGACAATTGTAAATATGTACATAAGATTTTTGTCAATTTAATTTAAGGAAGACAATAAAGTTTTATTTTTATTTTGAACTCTGTCTCTGACTGTCCAAAAGCTACCCGGATAGTGACTCCTACGAGAGGACGTCACAATAGTATTGTTTGTAGGTGTTGCTCTGTATATCCGCTTTAAGTTCCATACCGACGGACCCCAGTATGTAGACTATGTATCCGTTTTCTCGGCATTTAAAAAAATCCTGAAATACAAAATAATTAAATTTAATAAATAAATTTTCCCGCAATTTTAAATCGTCAGGATAACTTTGAACCAGTTTCAATGTGGTGCAAAGTTAGCATGAAATCATATAAATTATAAGGCCGGCCAGTTTTTGCTGCAATTCCGCTTTATTTTAATGAAACTTGAAGCTCTGATGCACCGAAAGTGATCCGAAATTAATAATAAATAAAAATTGTGATCCGAAATTAATAATAAAACAATTAAAATACCCTGCACACTTACTTTTTCGACAAAATCGCTGTAAGTAGTTACTTTGAATTATGGTTTACAACATAGCACTTTACAGACCGTATAAAAACTCAAGGTTGACCCAATACAACCTATCAGATGCCTTCAAACTAAACGGAAATGTCAATGACAGAGACATCTATTGCAATTTATCCAAATTAAACAATTTAACAGCTAGAATACTACTTATAACGTACACTAATATCAAAAAAAGTAAATGGTGTAAAGTTAGACCCTGTGGATCAAAGTTACCCCGAATGATTGTATATTTTGTCTAGAATAACTTTAATAAAATTCCCAAGGACTTTGTTAAACAATCTTTTTTTGCTTTCTAATTACTTTTATAATTACTGTAGAATTTTAGTTACTCAACTTTGTATGTTTTTAGTAAAACAAGGTAAAAACATAATAACCCGTAATTCCACGGATTCTTCCGTAACCATACCCTTTGAAAGGACCTTCCGTGACTTAGATACGACCAGACCAGAAGGAGGTGAACGTTTGGCTCAATTTAATTTCTGCGGATGTGGTTGGCCCCAACATATGTTGATACCTATGGGTAATACTGACAGTCCTGGATTTCAATGTGAACTTTTTGTTATGATTTCCAACTGGAGAGATGATGCTGTAAGTACAAATTTGTTCAGGTATTTTAAATAAAGTTTAAATACTTAAACTGGTGTCGATAAAAAAGGAATAGAGTTATTAAGAATTGACTAACTATCTTCACCATTGGCCTTATTTTACTTTCGAAAATTGCAAAGCTTATTTGTGCATTATGTTTTATTCTCCGCTGGTTGATGCCAGTTTACTCCATCAATTTTTCTTAATCTTTATTGAAATCATCATTTCATCTCTGTCTTGGTGAACTTCTTTGTCAAGTTTCTTTTGATTTCGCCAATAGGATAGCCCAGTCTAGCAGATCTAGAAGCTCTTATCTCAAGAATAATAAATATCATCATAATTAAATCGCTATTTTTGTGTTATAGAAAACAGCGATTATATTTTGTAATTCTAATTGGCATGTTCTAAAGCTATTTTTCTATAGCATGAGTAAACCACAATTTTATTTTAAAATTGTTTATTTTGACGTTTTGATTTTCACGTCAGAAATGGTTTATTCTCAGTAAAAATAAAATATTATATTAAAATGAATAGAATTTTTGTACATGCGTCAAAGTCCAATTCAAGATACTATGTTGGTCAATATTTGAATCGATATCTTTAAGTTTTTGCATCTGTTGCTTAGTTCTGTGCATTAATTTGTTGTTCAATATTAAAATCGATTTATTTAAGTTTTTGCATCTGTTGCTTAATTCTCTGCACCTCTTATTATTTACTCTAGCGTACTGTTACAGCACGTCAGTACATCTTTCATCTCAATTCTTTATAAGTGTTGAATGCTTGATAATGGCTAAAGAGATAGTTAAAGAACCAATACCCCTTCTTAGACATCATAGTTTATTTAAGTCCTTTTAACACTAACAGTCTTTTAAAACCTTTATCTTCTACATATTTCTTTATCTAATCTTTGAATTGATATTTTGTTTAACTGTTTCTTTGAAAGTCTGTCTTAAGAACTATTTATTTAATACCAAACACATTTTACAGAAAAAAATGTAACTAAAAGTATGAGTTTTTAACTGCAATGATCAAACCACCACCACAAGTTTTATTATTATAACTTTATCTCTTATGGCTACATTATACCTTTTGCCAAACAAATTAGCATTCTGGACATTAGTATTTAACCACGATTTAGTAATAAAAATGATGTCGTAGTTACAAGACAACATCTTCTTGATGTGCCTATCCATTCACGTGCAATCTTTATCTTATCTGCAGTAGCGCGGAAAAGCTGCACAGATGTTGTATTGAATCAGATTCTGAGGATCTTTAATCAAGATGTTCTTCCTCTATCTGGACCTCGCTTTGCAAATATTTTTCCTTACAGGATGGCTTGAAGGAGAGAATATCTGGATGCATTTTGCATAATATATCCGAAGAATTGTAACTTTAGAGATTTGATGGTGGTCAGTACCTTTTGGTTCTTATTCATTATTCTAAGGACCTTCTTATTTGTGACTCGGTCAGTCCACGTGATCCTAAGTATTCTCCAATATAGCCACGTCTGAAATGCTTTCAGTTTTCTGCACATTCTTCGTTCAAGGTCTACGATTTTACACCATAAAAAAGGAGGGAGAAGACGAAACATCGCAGCATTCTTACTTTTGTATCAATAGATAGGTTGTGCCTTTTATATAACGCCCCTATCCGATTAAAGGTGGATCTAGTTTTTTCGATGTGTACTCTAAGCTCCTGGTTGTTGGTCCATTCTTTATTTATTATGGTGCTGAGGTAGTTTTAGTGCGTCACTCTTTCTACAGGGATTGATTAACGTAGAGTTGACTTTCTATTATACTTTTCTTGCTAATCATAGGCTTTGTCTTCTTAACGTTTATACTGAGTCCATATTGTTGACTGCAATATGGACTAGTTGTCCATTACGGACTAAGTTGTCCGCAAATACTATGTTGTCATCTGCATATCTGATGTTGTTTAGCCGTTAACCATTTAGTAGAATACCTTTTTCAGTTTCGTGCAAAGCTTCGATAAATATTATTTCAGAGTACAGATTAAAGATTAGAGGAGACAAAATACAGCCTTGCGTCACTCCATGCATGATTTTCACATAGTCAGTATGTTCACCTTTAACTCTAAGATTTTTTGTCTGATTCCAGTAAATATTTCTAATTATTTCAGATCTTAATTGTTAATTCCTGCTTCTTCTAATGTTTCCATCATCTTGACCTTCTGTACTCGATCAAACGATTTCTCGTAATCAACCAGCTGCTCAATTTCTCTGAATCTTTGGAATAAGACTTGTACTGAGAACAAAGTCTCTCTAGTACCAACAGCATTTTTGAACCCAAACTGGTTGGGGGAAGTTTGACTTTCACACAACTTTTAGATTCTCTTATGAATTATCTTTAGGAGAAATTTTAGGCGATGACTCATGAGGCTTATAGTACGGCGATCTTCACTTTGTAGATTACTACTGCAAGGACTATTTGTGCTAATAACATACATTTGTTTCTTCTGAATCTCTATGATTTCTTCATTTGAAGGATCTACTATTAGATTCCTCTCTACTTGCATTCTTTTGCTGGCAAAATACTGTAAAATTAGTGATCCACTAGACCAAACTTCTCTCTGCCCAGCTCTCCTAAAATTTGACAGGTTAATAGTTACCTTATAAGATGTATAATAACATCTTTCAGGCCAAACAATGGCCTGAAGACTGGACAAAATCCACAATAACGACCATACATAAAAAAGGCAGCTTCCATAAATGTGACAATTATAGAACTATCTCTCTTATATCCCATGCTAGCAAAGTAATGCTACATGTAATCAATGAGAGACTGAAAACATTCCTTCAAAGAGAAATTCCACAAGAGCAAACTGGAGTTACCAAAGGTAGAGGCACTCGAGAACACCGAATATAAGACAGATAATCGAGAAATCTAGGGAATTCATCATCCCACTATACATCTGTTTTATAGATTACTGTAAAGCGTTCGACAGGGTCAAGTGGAGACACTTATTGCGAATACTAAAAGAAGTAGGCGTACCACAACATCTAATTACGCTTATAACTGAACTATATGAACACACTACTGGATCAGTTAAAGTACTTGACACACTTTCGAACGAATTTCATCCAGAACGGGGTGTCAGACAAGGATGTATACTATCTCCACAATTATTCAACATATATGGGGAGTATATTATGCGAAGAGTACTTGAAGGATGGGAAAAGGGCACCTCAATAAATGGCCATAAACTAAACAACCTACGTTTCGCAGATGACACAGCCCTTCTTGCAAATAGTCAAGCAGAGTTGATGGAACTTATACGACTGATCGAAAATGAAAGTCAAATATTTGGTCTGCAATTAAACATATCAAATACAAAGATCATGATAGTGGATAGACTACACACCAATCATCCACACATAACCACGATTGACCGGTTCGAGGTTGTGAGCTCATACTTATATCTGGGATCATTAATCACAAACACAGGGTCATTACAAGAAGAGATTAAACGTAGATGTTATCTAGCAAAAGTTACCACAACAAAAATGACCAAAATATGAAAGGACTGTCAAATTTCAAGAGCGATAAAGATGAGGTTGATCAACTGCTTAATATTCCCAATACTGACCTACGGATGTGAATCTTGGACTCTAAGACAATCGGAGAGAAGAAAGATAGACGCCACTAAAATGTTCTGTTGGAGACGCATGTTACGAATTCCTTAGACCGACCGTAGAACAAATAATTCAATTTTAAGAGAGCTAAAAGTTAGCCAACGACTCTCTAGTAAAGTCCATCTCCAAAAATTAAAATATTTTGGGCATGTTATGAGAGCAAACACAGAAAACATGGAAAGACTCATAATACAAGAAAAGGTAGAAGGCCGAAGATCACGAGGAAGATCCCCAACAAGATGGATAGATCAAATTACAGGAATATGCCAAAGACCTATGCATGAATTAAAAGAAATGACCAGAGACAGAGATCTCTGGAGACGGACAATACACGACATCACGTCGACCACTACACTCCCCCTGGGGGGTCAGGATTGAAGAGAGAGATAAGATGTATAACCCTCTGGGTACTTTGATTTATGGTTTTTACGCTTCTGAAAAGTGTTGTTTTATCATTAATTTAAAATATTCTAATTTAGTATCGGGTGTTATTATTATTATATGTAAGAATACTTGGGAATAGTTGTTATATTGTCGTTATTGTTTGTTTCAACAACCAATCGTTTCTTTCTGCAACTCTTCTGCAGTTGACATCCTGTTTTATTATCCTCATCCTCTGAGAATAGATTTTGTATAGAAACGTAGTAGAACCATTTTTTGCGTAGTTTCTGCTTTATGAATTGCAGCTCTAACTTGCCGTATATTAACAATATTTTCATTTCAATTCTTTTGTGTACGGTTGTTTTTTTTTTGTTACATTTACATTTGTTAAAGGTGGCGCTGGCCCATTCCGTGTCTATATTTTGACATGATCTGAGTTTAAATTGTTTAGCCTACTCAAGTTTTGTTTACTTGCAGTGTTGCCGTCTCTTTCAAATTTTCTTTGGACATATTTTTCTCGAATTTTTCTTCTAAAAATTTAATTTTTTCTATTAAAAGGTGTGAATTCCCTTCAAGAATTTTATTTTTGATTCTTATTTTTTCAAACAAAATCTTCAATAATTTGATTTCGTTGTTCCTAGGATCGGCATTTATTGAATCTATGTACTCACATGTTTATTCATTGTTATCTTGTTTTTCACTTGGCAGGTTATGATTATCACAAAATTTTTTGGTAATTTGTTTGCAAAAACATCATGATAAAACTTTTTACAATTTAAACATTTAGCTGTAGCATTTACTGTGGTTTTCTTACAATATTCGCAGACTACTTTTCCGGCTTGTTATTTACATGCAATTTATTATTTACATGCAAGTGTCTTTTGCAGAATCACTATTATTGAAAAAAATCGACCTATATAGTAAACATTTATAGACAGTAATCATACTAATTTTAATTTACAGATAAATCAAGATAACCAAGGTGTTTGCAATGACGCTGACAGCTATTGTGGTTTGAAAGATAAGCTATATCCTGATAAACGTGCCATGGGTTATCCATTTGACAGACAGCCAAGAGACAATGTTGATACTTTGGCAGACTTCCTAACGCCTAACATGAGAGTTCAACAAGTTAATATTATGTTCTCTAATAAAACCTACAGGCCAAGACAGGCATAATTTGCATAAAAATGTTAGACAATTGATTGTATGTGTAATGAGCTTAAATAAATAAATGCATTTTGAAACTTAATGGTATATTTTCTTTCATTACTTCACTCTATAAACTGGGTTAATAAGCATGTTTTTTATTTCAATTTACGACTAAATTCATGATTTCACGTCACGATTTATACAAAGTGACATCAGTTGTTTATAAAATTTCCACATCAACCTTAGAGTTAAAATTTCCCTAACATAGATGAAAATACGATACAAATAGAGTTTCTCGATCTTTCATAGGCGTCAACATGGTATTATAATAAGAAAAATGTAATCGTGATTATATTTACACCAAAATAAAACTCTACAAATCAATTATACGCCCAGTCCTAATATATGGTTCAGAGACCTGTACTCTAACAAAAAATAATGAAAACATGTTCAAATATTTGAAAGAAAAGTACTAAGGCGAATCTATGGACCAGTGAATGACAATAAAGTGCGGAGAGGAGGATACAACTTTTAATTGTTGTATGCATGTACCCCCTTGATGATTGATTGGGGGTTACACAAAGAACGGTACTAGGCTCGGGCTTCAGTCTGGTAGAGGTATCTTGGTCGGGGTTCTTGTTACAGCTCAAATATCACGGATCAATTAAAGAAGTACTTACAACACAAAGACAAGAAGTTAGAAGGGAAGATAAGAGGTAAGAGAAGAAAAGTTATTTGGACACCACCCTATTTTCAGAGGAACAGGGAAACCTTAAGGCACATAGAAAAGGATGACGAGAAAGGTAAGGTACAGCTAGAGAACTCACGCGAGAATAAAGTAAACCGTGAGAGAAAAGGTATCGGAATTATGCGGTACACTCCTAATATTTCGACACATATACACAAAATATACGATCAAACAAATAATAATATACTTAATTCAATAAAAAATGCCTGGAAGAGAAACACAAAAATATAAATTCAAATTATATACAAAAATATAAAAGAAATACAAAGCAAATAGATCTTTAACAAAATTATATTTAGGTATATTTGTTAAAGTAAATGTACTATACCAAATTTTATTGGATAGTTAAATGGCCTGATTATTGCGCAACTTATTATTAATTACAAACAAAAAATATCTCTTTGAAAAATAGTTATAAATAATTTAGTATCCTCAAGAATTAAAAAAAGGCAAGGAACATTATAATTATATCTACGTTAATATTTGACAAGCAAGTGAATTTTATGCCTTGAGGATACCTAAATATGAAGTTACTAGGTTTTTGATCGTGATCACTTTAAATCTAAGAATAGAATTTATCAGAAATATAATCTACATATAAAATCAATTGTACGTTATTTATACGTATATATTATCCTGTATTTTTATACTCAGTGAAACTAAACCTCCATAAATAAGAAGGTACACTGAACTGGAGTCATAAATCAACTTCTAAAGATTTCGTTATAACAGTTTAGTCAATAAAAATTATAGGTATTCACAAAACAGGTGTATTTAAATAATGGTATTACGCCCTCAATAAAGCACTTGACTTCGGTCCGTACAACAGGTAGTTGGGATGACAGCCACAAAGAATTGCGGTCTTTTTAACGTAATCCCTTAGATTGTCTTAGGCCGACGAAAAGAGGCAGTTAGACAAAGGTAGTACAATACGGTGAGAGAAGAGTAGTAGAAGAACGGTGTAGAATCTGAACAATGTAGAATCTGAACGGTGTAGAGTAGAATATGAACGGTAAAATCTGAACGGTGTAGAGTAGAATATGAAACGGCAAAATCTAAACGGCAAACAGAAGTGACTTCAATTGGAAGACGTCTGTTTGACAAAAGAGAAGATAATTAATCTAAGACACACTGTATAAAGATAAATAAGGGTGAATAAAAAATCCACTTACCGCCGATTGTCGAAGATAAGACCGCTTGCCACAGGAACCAACTTGGAAATGAACATCGGATTGTGAACTTAGAAGAACTTAGACAAGCGAAGGTTGAAAATAGAGAGGGGATATTGGCTGAAGGATGTCACGCAAAATTGACATTAAATTGCTGGGCTACTGGGGTTCATTTTCATAGCTTTTACCAATGGAAAGTAACTTTCTACGAAAAACAACTCTTCTGTTTTTCTGAGAAGGTAGCTCGGAGATTTCACAATAGAGACCTTTTTCCTTTGTTATTAGGAAAGATTTTTATGTACCAAAACAAGATAAAAAGCAGAAAAAACATTTGGCGGAGTTATTTCTTTGTTAAAAAAAGGCGTAACGAATTAATAGTGTCGGTTATTTGGAAGATATGTAGGCATGGGCGGCGTGAAAATAATTTACTAAAGGGAATAATTTAAAGAAATTATGAACATGCTTCATGCACACCAGATAAAATGTCACTGAGCAGCACTGGTTCCGTTTAAAACATAGCTGATTCCTGCTGAGCGAACGAGATGCGCGTTTTTTTAAGCAGAGTGGGCATTCTAATTGTTTATTATTCTGTGCATTTGTTTTATATATGGCAAATATTTTTTTTATTATTATACAACTTTGGAATTTTTTTTTCTTTTTTCTCCATTGTTCCTGAATTTTAAAGTTCATCTAGGGAACAGCAAATCTGAAACATAAATTTCGAGAAGCATTTAAAAAAGAAGTGCCCTTGCGTTATAGTTTACCAGAAAAAATTAAAATGATTTAAACAAAAACAAAATGGCGGACAATTGAAAAAAATTAATTACTATTTAAATGGGAATAAGTCACAATTAAAGGTTAAAGGTTAAAGTTAAAATAAAGAAATCGTTCTCCGAATACGACACTTGAATCATTAAATGTCCAACAGTTTTGTTTTTTGACAATCAAGGTGAATGAAATCTTACAAAAAAAGTAACCTACCAAGTAAGAGTAGTTAACTAGATAGGACAACTAAACACATAGGTCTTAGGTACTACTTCTTGAAGAAAAAAGAAAATTGTTGTTGGAGCTTAAACATGTGCCACCAGTAAATCAAGTTACAGACTGTCTTACTATAGCTTTTGATATAAATAAAATGAGACTTTGTACGTAACTTCGAGATATACAAAAATTGTCCGTTACATTATTAGGCTATGAAATCTGTATGAAATGTAGTTTTTAGTAATTTTTAATATAAAAATTACTTTAAAATATTTGTTTAATAACGTATAGTCCTATTTTTACCATAAAATCTTTGTGAAAAATTCTGATGTAGCTCTCTAAAGCATGAGCTTACTTTTTTTCTTGTAAACACACATAACAAGTTAAGCCGTTATCGATAGCAGCTGGCTTGAGTACTTTCTTGCTTGCTTGTTTCTATCTATCAATTTCTTTTGTTCTTATATATTATTGATTTTAAAGAAGTAATACAGGGTCAATATGAACAGTTGAAATAAAAGTTTCTGCTTTGAGTTATTGTACAATAGTTTTATTTAAAAATCCTTAATAAGATCTATATTTATAATTAAAAATACCCTTTCGAGTTACATTACAGAATGGTTTCAGACTAAAAATTCCATCATCAGTGCAGTTACATAAAATAAGTATTACCACTTTAGTGAAAGCAAACATACAGTTACATTTTAACTAACGTTGTAAAAGCAAGTTAGATACTTACTATAGTAAAATTCATCAAGCGGTGCAGGAAGATGTAAACATTAAATCGTGTCCGAACCGGTATGATGAGCTGCCGAGAACGTCGGCAGACGAAAGAAAGATGGACATTTCGGTCAGTTTTTAAATATTTTTGAAGAACTGTTACTTGCATTTATGCATAAAATATTCATTAATTTTATAAATCGGATTATTGTTTTACTGACTATGTATTCAGTGATAACATTAATTTATTTACTATGCAATAAACACGAATATTTGAGAAAAGAAAAAAAATAATAAAGTGTCATAATTAGGTATACTGTTAAATTATGCATTCCTAAACCTTTTTCATGTCAGTAGATATCAAATTAAAATAGTAATATGCTTTTTTTTCTTTAATATTTTCCTTCTAAAACTGAATATCAAAAACTATGTAAGAAATAGAAGAGTAGAATGGATCGATCATATATGTCAAATAATGGAACGATCATATATGTCAACAAATTTAGTAGTAAAGACGACAAGACCACGAAAACGATGGAATGACAACTTACTGGTGGCACATTGAAAAACAGGCAGAGTCATGTCTATATAAAAAGAAGAAGAAGAAGAATGGGTTTAAGGATATTTTCAAATACATTCCAAATGGTCAAATAAGCTGTCTAAATAATATTTTAATCTTCATCTATGTTTCAAAGTCCCAGTTCTCTATTGATTCTTAAAAACGTTTAATACATTTTCAATTCATATTTTATTATTCTTAATGGTGAGACCAATTTTCTATTCATTCATTTTGTATATATTTTTGAACTTTAGTTTAAAAGAGAGAATTTGCCTTGTTCATAGAGTATTAGGTGTGCATCATTTTCTAGTAACATCAATAGGTTTTTTAGCTTAGACTTGTGGGCATCAGGGTATTTCTAGTGTTATCTATGGTATCAAATCGTCCCCTTACTAACAAATAAACGTATCTCGATTTTATTGATTATGGAGAATTATCGATAACCATCTTTTAGTTTTGTTTTACAAGAGATATTACTGTTGATTTCAAATATTCATAAATTATTACTCTACAATAATTTTTATACAATATTGACGATCATAAAACTGTAAACGAATGGAGTCTTGAATATTTTTGTATATAGTAAAAAAAATGGTTTTTGTGTTAATATTGAGATACGTTTATACGTTATTAATGTAATCCTTGATTTTTTTTTATACTCTATATCCAAAAATATATATAGTATATATAGTATATTTTTATACTATATATACTATATATATATATATATATATATATATATATATATATATATATATATATATATATATATATATATATTTTTATACTATATATTATAACACCAGGTCTATTGCCTAACGAAGATACGTTAGGCAATAGACCTGGTGTTATTTATTTGTAAAAATACAAAAACTAAAAAAATATATCTAAATATATACTAAAATTAAAAATTAATTACGCACAATATTAATCAATGTTTATTCGTTGTCTGAATTTTTATATATAGTTATGTTAGGCAATAGACTTGTTTATTTATTTATTAAAATACATAAACTAAAAAATATATCTAAATAGATAATAAAATTAAAAATTATGCACAATATTAATAAATTTTTATTCGTTGTCTGAGTGTCTGAATCCAGCGTTACCGTGTGCATACCACTAATCAACTCTTCGTAGAAACTGTGATAGTGAGGTGGTATTACACCTTGATCGCACAGGTACTTTAAATCTTCCAATTTTTTTAGCAGCCACTTTGATAGGATGGGTATATATCTTTTGAAGTTCTAAATCATTATAATAATTGGTAATTCCCTTTGTCATCCGTCGTATGAGTTTGATTCTTTTGAATTCAGGGTAGGACTTGTCATATTTGAAATAAATATAAATATGTTTAATATACTTAAGTAGGGTTATTTTCAGCCAGTTAATCTTGTTACCATCAGTGTCAAATTGTTTGTTTTTAATAATTTCTTTTTTTAAAGCTACAACATCAAAAAACATAGCTCGATTCATCTATATTACCTTGTATTTGGATTGCTTTGATGCAATTCCGACCGCTGCGTACCATCCAGAAGGATGATATATATTTAAGTTTTTTTTTGATTGCTCAATATGCGCGTGGGCCGAATCGCATTCCATCATTGAATGTCCTAGTTCAAAATAACCATGTTCAATTTCGGGAATATCCAATACCTGTACGGCATAAACAAGAGTCGCTGCTAAAAAGACATTCCAGTTTTGACCACCGCAAGTATCACTCATTACGACAAATTTTTTACCATTAGCATTGTCTGACAAATAAGGATGATATTTCATTAGAGCCTCTTGCAGCAATACCCTCATGCCATATATAATTTGATGCACATCTTGACTTCACATCATAGACTGTGGCATTATATTTAGCAAGTTGACGTTTATAAAATATTGCTTTTGACGATACTTTGGGACACTGTCTCACAGCCTCTAAATCTATTTGTATAAAGTTGTTAACATTATTTTCTGCTATACTCCATTCGCTTAGCTTGGGCATATTTTGACATATTCATTGTCGGAAACCTACAACACAACAGTTCGTACTTCTCAGTATTAATAGCTTAAGTATAGTACTATTATTGCAGACTTCTTTCTCTGAAAAAAGAAGAATTATTCTAAATAGCGGGAGTGTATACTAAACCCATCAAATTTTGGGTAGTATATATTTAAAAACTATATTTTAGTTGTTATAATTTAACATAACTATTTATTATATCGTGCAGATAAATAAATATTGATTGTAGGTAATTAGCATAGATCTATTTTATTTACTATTTGGTTTGCTTACTATTAATATTGGCTATGAGTAACTGTGCTTGGTTGTATAGTAATTTCCGGCCACTTTTAGTCTGTCAAAAAGTAACTAACTTCGCAAAAAAATAATTACTAAATTCACTAGAAAGTTCAGACTGGGAATAGCGAACCGAGTATAACAACTTATTATCATCATATCAATCATATCAAAGCAATCTTACGGCGAAATAACGTAGGCTTTTGTTCTACAAATATTTTATATTCGACTCAAGAATCACACATATCTTTGCGTGGTTTATGAAATTTGTAATTTAAATTATTTAAAATTTTTCTATAATGCCATATTCTCTCTGGGATACAATTTTGCTAATGGCAACGATCAACTTACAAATTATATATTAAAAAAATAAATGACGGTTGCGTTTCGATTTAATTTGAGTCTCTTACCACTCCCTGACACGTGTTTCTGGGTCTACCCGTCATCAGAAGGAGTTTGTAAGAAGACTCAAACCAAATCAAAACGCACCGACTACTAAGGCAATTATAGTAAACATAATTGCCAGAGTATGCTACTAGAGGCCAAATTATATATTGTTGAAAGTGATAGATCTTCTGCTAAAGATTTATAGTTTGTTTTTTTTTCGACAGTAATGGGATGGCACACTAGGAAATGATAGTATGTGATTTTCTCTCATTTCTTTGGCTTAGTCGGTCTAGTAATACTGGGTCGGTGCTTTCCCCTTCTGCTGGGTACAACAATATGGGCTTCATTTCTATTATTTAATATATTTCGTACGAATTCTTCAGATATATCTAGTGTTGCAAAAAAATCCTTGATGTACTTGCACTTTTTGGCCAGCATTGAAAAGGAAAAACTGATGCGAGTTGTTTCGCCTTGAATTTTCGCCAGTAGTTTTGACTTTTTTGGTCGTTACCACAACCAACGTTGATATATATTGCATTTGTTTTTCTGAATTTCCTAAGGCCCAATACGTATTATGAATTTCAATTCTGCTATCTTCCGAAAAAACTTGACTACATTTTCTGGGACACTTTGTACAATCTTTGCGTTGTCAGATGCTAATAATAAATGTGTAGCAATAGTTACGTTTTTTGTTTCTGACCATAAGAGATTCATAACAGAAATACATAAACGCATTTGCAGATAGGTGTATCTGTTTCTAAATGTTATTAATATTGAAGAGATACGCCAAGGTTTAGATTCCTAACGAAGAAATATTGAGTTACGTGGCTTTGTTATTAAATAGAACTAATTATTTTTTAATCAATCATTCACTTATCTCAAAAACGTCCAAATTCGAGATACGTTTATTTGTTACTATGGGGACGAAATATAAATAAAAATATAAAAACAATATTTGTTTTAATTTTTATTAGATATACTGCAATTAAATATGAAGAAAGCCTAAATGATTTTAATTATTTTATAAACTTATTTGTTGCTTGATGTTGGTTGTACAGTCCTGTTAGAAAATCTGATAACTATATCTTGAACCCTCATATTTGGTGTGAGGAATTGTTGCAAAGTATCTATCCCTACTCTCGCTTGTCTATCAAATGGATATCCCATTGACCGGCGATCAGGATAAAGTTTATCTTTAACACCGCAGAAAACATCAGCACTGTTACAAACTCCAGAGATATCTTGAATGATCTAAAAAATAAAAAAATAAAAAAATCCCTAATACAGTTTGATTATTATTTAAAATTTAAACAAAAATTGTAAAATATTTTAGGACTTACTCTGTCATCGTCATAGTTAGAAATCATTACAAATAGTTCACATCTAAATCCAAGGCTATTACCCATTGGTATCAACATATGTTGGGGCCAACCACAACCGCAAAAGTTAAACTGCTCGAGACTATCACCTCCTTCAGGTCTGTTGGTGTCCAAATCACGGAAGGTTCTTGCAAATGGAATAGTTACGGTAGATTCGGTAGAAGCTCGAGTAATAGTATTTTGTCCCCGTTGTACTGAAAAATAAATATATTTAGTGGTGTTTTATCCGTTTATTTTCCTAGATTGGGAAATATTTGCAGAAGTGTCATCAACATTACATTTATCATTTTCTATGCTACTTTTTTTACAATAGGATTAAGAATTCTTCAGCATATAAGAAGCATAGAAAATATTAAATGTGATTTTGACAATGATGTTATTTAGAATGATATTCCAAAACATAAATATAAAAGCAGGATATTATAGGATGACGTCTGAAATGATATTTTTTTTTGAAAATAAAAAAATCCAAAACGGCTCGTCAACCCTATTTGAAATACATAGGGGGTTAAGGCAGGGAGATGCGCTAGCGTGTCAGCTTTTTAATGTCGCCTTAAAAAAAGTTGTACGAGACGCTAATTTAGATAGCAGGGGAACAATATTTAATAGATCAGTCCAAATTCTAGCATATGCAGACGACGTGGACATTATAACAAGAACCAGGGCGGAAACTGCGGAAATTCTAACCGAGCTAGTAGCAGCAGCAGAACGAATGGGGTCGATATAACTTTAAACTGCAGAATATCTACAACCATACGTTTGGTGGTAAAGATATTACCCCTATAATTTAGCAAAACCGCCTGCAATGGTCAGGACATGTAGCCCGGGCCCCTGAATCGAACATGATAAAAAAGATTTTAACAGCGCAACCCGTGTGAATGAGAAGACGGGGAAAACCAAAACTGAGGTAGATGAATGGGGTAACACAAGATGCGAAGAAGATTGGAGTCGGCAACTGAAAAATGGAAGCAAGGGATAGAACAGAATGGCGTACATGGTAGGATATAATAGAAAGACAAAAAAAAAGCAATATTGATAAAATATCCTGTTGGTGATAAAACTAACAGTTCTTTATAAGAATGAAGCAGCCAAGGACATAATACTGATAACCTACATTATGGTGCAACTAATAATAATGGTTTAAGGTTTAAATAGGGTAGTTAGGTGCAATATATGACGCTGCATCTAGTTAGCACCACCAGCCAGCACCAGATTGCTTCGCTTGAAAAAATATACACAAAGGCACCTGAATATCACCAGATGGACTTAAATATAACAGATCGTGTTATTGTAAACTCAAGACACGTATATAATAAATGTCCGCACCAAGATAGGAGCCAATGAATTTCTTTATCAGTACCTAATTGCAAGGGCCTAGGGTAAGGGCCAAAATTTCAAACATTGAAAAGAAAAATGTTTTTAAACATAACTGTATAATGTTGAAGCACTTGATAAAGATTTTAAAGAATGCAGAAACATCACAAAAAAGCCGCTGAAGAAGTACTAGACATGGAAAACAAAAAATAACTATAACTAGTTTGACAAAGAATGTCAGATTATAACAGAAAGAAAAATAACATATTCATTGATGCAACTAGGGTACAGAATCCGACTAGCAGAGGAGGAATATAAACAACTAGGAAGAAAGAAGAAAGAAAATATTAACAAAGAACTTTAAGGACTACAAGAACTAAGTAAGCAAATAGACAAGAAAGTTTTATCAGATTCTAAACAAAAGCAGAAAAAAATTTAAACCAATAACGACAGTATAAAGAGATAGAGGAAGGCAAACCCTGATATACGATTGGAAGAAGCAGATAACAGAGAAAAGAGTCCACCAATAGTAGCCAAGATCACAACAACAGTTGACAAGACATAAACAGCCAAATGTTGTCGAGCCAGTGATGATGAAGAAAGCTTAATATTAAACAATTAAACAAAAAATAAAGAGCAGGTACAGGATTTTTATTGTACTTACAGTTAACTCTAAATCTATCCATTTCAATAAACATATGCTTTTGGTCTCTAAATAACCATGGGTTTCCCCTCTCATCGAATTTGGGTGCCAGGAATATTCTACAAGTTCCTTGTCTAGGAGCTCCTGTGTTACTCACGTTGATACGATAATTAAATGGTTGGTGGTTAAGATGTGTAAATCGTACAAAAACGGCTCCACTAGGTTGAAAGTCCATTCCTCTGGAAAGATCTACATCTGATTGTTGCCAGAAAGTATTGAGAATATTGCGATTGCCTGCCGATTCCACACTAACAGAATTTACTGTTACTCCTTCATATATTAACTAGTAATAAATAAAAAACTATTTAAATTAATTTTAAATAAAATTTTATGTGTCCTTATCATATACATATTATATATGTTGGATAAATATGAAAATTTATTTATAACCTACTTATCAATTAGGATTTTTGAAACATGAAGAAAAAGACCTGATTTCGATAAAAATAGACTTTTCAGAAAATTTCGGTATGGCATTATTTCATATTCATTTCTCACAAAGTTGTTAACCAAAATCGTTATAAACAAATTAGGCCATCATTTAAACTTAACTTTAGGGGTTATAATTTTGAAAATGGTATTTTAACTTACATATTTTGAAAACATAGATAAAAACAATCAAAATAAGATTTTATAAGGTGTTCTAAGGTGACGAAAATAACCGCGTTTTTATTATCAAATAAACAAATTTCTAATAAAAAATTGGAATAACTTTTCATTATCATCATCATCATTGGTTCTACAGCCGTATAAAAGAGCCTTGACCTTCCCAAGTCTATTACGCCCGTCAATTCTATCCATTGCCAACTGTTGCCAGTTTGCTGCGCTTATTTTTCTACCATCCTCATCTACACCATCCCTCCATCTGAGTTTTGACCTACCCCTACTTCTACGTCCCACAGGTTATGACATAAGGATTCTTCTAGGAGGGTTGTTCTGCTGTAATTTTTCCAGATGTCCTACCATCTTAGTCTTCCTATTTTTATAAGAGATACTACGTCTTTACCACCAAATATGTTTATATCTGTGATATATGCCGTAGTTGTACCTCCTTCCTAAACAACATTTTCACAGATACCACCGAATATTCTTCTCAGGATCCTTCGTTCAAAGATAAGCAGGAGGTTTTCATCTGCCTTGGAAATGGTCCATGTCTCCGATCCATATGTAAACACTGGTTGTATAAGGGTTTTGTTTTTTTATTTGGCTTAAGTTTCTGCTTCTCATATGTCTACTCAATTCAAAATAGCATTTGTTTGCTAGGATTACTCTTCGGTTGATTGATTTCTACTGCTCGGTGAATTGGTGGCCGATATTTCTAGCTCTATTGGTGGGTGTTGATGCCATTATCTTAGTTTTCTCATAATTAACCAATTTAACCAATCGTATCAGTTTTAGCAGGATGTGGAATTCATTCATGGAATAACTGTTAGATAAATAAATATTTTTTAACAAAAATTTATGTGTATCTTAGGGGTGTTAACCTTTAACTACATCGGTACACACCGGAGGGACCGCAGACGTTCGGATACAATTAGCGTCTCTTAGCAAAGACAATGACGTCGACTTTGCTAAGTATCAAGACAATTACTCTGCACACACAAAACACACACACACTACATTAATACAATTATCTTGAGATAATTGTATTAATGTAGTGATTTTAAGTAAATGATAACAAGACTGGCCGAATGACAATTGTCCAAGCCAAAACACACACAAAAAAAAAAAACCTTTAACTACGGGCTACGGTGTACTCAGTACACCAGTCGCACTAAATTGGCCGCTATTTCTGATAAGCACTGGTTGCGCACGTGTCCCTCTACCTAACCTATCTCTGATGTGTCAGCTATAAACCTCAACAGTTGTAAAATTGATTGCTGCAGAGATATACTGACGGTTGGAAAAATTCAGGAGAAGTTTACCAGTGGTGTATGTAGTACACCAAGCACCTAGTTATGTAAGTATATTTTGTGAGATTTATATGTTTGTGTTATGTGACGCGCAGACCTTTTATGTCACCAATTTTGAGGTGTATTGTGGTCAACAACCGGAAGGGCCCTACAAAAAATCTAATACACCAACGGATGTTACCCATCGCCTGCTTCAACCTTGGAAAGGTAAAAACCGTAATTTAACATGCGACAATTGGTATACGAGTTATCCGTTGGCAATTGACCTTTTGAAGAAAAAGATAACGATGGTTGGCACACTTAAACGAAATAAAAGGGAACTACCTCCAGAGTTTTTACCAAGAAAAAACACACCAATTGGATCATCCACTTTTGGTTTTTAAAAAGAAGTTACCATTGTATCCTACACACCAAATAAAAAAATAAAGCTGTCATTCTCCTATCCACCATGCACAGTAATTCTATAGTAGATCCCGAAACAGGAAAACCAATGATAATTTTAGACTATAATTCACATAAAGGAGGCGTAGACACTGTAGACAAAATGTGCAGTACCTATTCGGTATCCCGAAGAACACGAAGATGGCCAATGGCATTGTTTTTTCAACTCCTGAATATTGCCGGAATTAATAGCTAGATCCTGTACAACGCTGCCAACATCGACAATCCTCAAAAATATAAAAGAGTTTTTCTAAAAGAATTATCATTGGCATTGATAAGACCTCATCTTTCTGAGAGGGCGGAAATACAGAGTTTACCTCTGGATTTAAAAATATTCTTGAAAAAATACAAAAACGTACAAGACGACCATGATGAAGAACCACCAGCAAAAAAACGGGGGAGGTGCCATTGTTGTGGAAGGAGCAAAAATAGAGTTACAACAATATCTTGCAACAAATGTAATAGAATGGTTTGTAAAGAACACTCTGTTACAATTTGTGCAAATTGTAATTTAGTAGACGCAAACGAGGAAGAAAACGAAAGTGAATAGCACACATATTCTCAAATATGTTCATTTGTGGATGATTATTTACTCCTATTTTTTAGATTTATATACTAGTTTTATAATATATACAAGAATCTCAAGGTTATTTTTAGAGAAAAAGAAGTGGTTGAGTTTTTGTTCTTATATTTGTTACTAATCTTTATATTTTCGTTATGTATTATTTTTTATGTTAAGACATTCTCTTAAATATATGCCTACATTTATTATAAACAATATATGTACTAAAAATACCTAGTTGTGGCTTTTATTTGCGTTTTTAGTCGGTGGTGTACAGAATACACCTCGCACGTAGTTATGACTAATGGAGGGGCGCCCGTAGTTAAAGGTTAAAAGACATATTTTTATGTAACTTTGTTATTATTTATGACTTTTTATGTTTATTTTTTCTAGAAGTTCGTGCAGTTTTTCACAATTGTTTAAATAAATTATAAAATAAACCAAGTTTAATTTAGAAGGTCTCAAATAAATGGTTTTTTACAACCTTAAAAAACAAAAATAAAAACTTTTAATTAGGAAAGAACTATTGAAAAAGTTGAAAATGATGATTTTCTGTGATTTTGCTATAAAATCAATGTTGTCGTTATTTTAAACTGATGCTGTTGGCATAAATCCATATTTTCATACTAAAACTTAAATTTGTTCAATGATTCGTTTTAAAACAAATTACTTTACATTTTATTTTTTGTTTATTGGAATAAAGAGCGATGTTTTGAAGCTGGTATTTTGGAATCTCCATAGAATAAATTTAAATACAACAAATAAACACGTATTAATTTTTTGTATTATATCGATATTGTACGTAAATTTACAAAACATTAATAAAGTAAACACAATTTAAATCATGAATGTGTTGCTTGTGTGAGTCCATTTCAAATAGGTAACGAAATAATAAATAAGACTTACTCACAATCAATTTAATTTAACTATCAGACGACCGGTTTCGCTTTCTACAATATGCAAAGCATCTTCAGGTCTCGATACAAAGTTAAATAAATGATGCCGGTACTCTATTAATTTATTATTGATGGATGGTAGAACATGGTTGTAACTACTATGTATTGTTGAATGGAGAACTCAATTCTGCTATTGTAGTTGTATGACAGTACACGGAAAGTTCTTGAGGAGATAGATTTGATCCAATGAAGCAGATATATGTGTGTGATTGTTTGTTAACATCACTTTTCATCACTGTTACATCACTTTCTTTTAACAAACAGTCACACACATATCTCTGCTTCATTGGATCAAATCTATCTCCTTAAGAACTTCCCATTTACTGTCATACAACTACAATAACAGACAACAATACATAGTAGTTTCAACCATGTTCTACCATCCATCAATTAATAGAGTACCGGCATCATTTATTTAACTTTGTATCGAGACTTGAAGATGCTTTGCATATTGTAGAAAGCGAAACCGGTCGTCGGATAGTTAAATTAAATTGATTGTGAGTAAGTCTTATTTATTATTTCTTTACCTATTTTAAACACAATTTGTTTATTGTAATTATTATCAATATAGTATTTTCCGTTCGATTTTTTATAATGTAAATGTTTAAATTTACCATTTTACCAATTTACCAAATTTTGAAATATGTCCAAAAATGTGGTTTTTGGATATATTTCAAATGCCTCATATGTGTTGCCAAACTATATTAGAGGATTTGAGCCACACAATAAAGAAACAAGTAACATTTATTGTCACTCTAAACAATATATCAAAGGATATAGTTTTTGCTTATCTTTAGTGAAATATTTTAAATCAATTGATTATATAAATAGTATATTCCGACCGATACAATGAAATAAGATTACGAGACTACAACGATCCCCAATTGAAGTATTGGCTGTAAGTCTACACAAATATATTTTAAACAAATAAATTTTAAAAACACCAGAAGTTTAAGTTTTAATCGCAAGAATTACAGGGCAAAAGAGAAACTGATCCTCAGGTTTGAAAGAACGAAAATTAGAAAATAGGTATCACAATATACAGAAAATTGAAAGCGATTTATAAAGGTCCTGGTTCAACGTCGGAAAAGACTCTCTGTGTGTGGTGACGATTTGAATGTATAAACAATAATAACTATTTTGGAACAAACTTTATCAAACTTTGATTTTTCTTGAACAACGACATTTTTGTTAATAAATTTGTAAATAGTTTCAGAACTTCACAAAATTATAAAGTAAGCACTGGGAGATAATAAATATAAAAATTTGAGTTTATTTCTAGCACATGCAATTATAACGTCATAATTTAAAACTTTAAAAATTTAAGTAAATAATTTTTTTTGTTTACCTGTTGAACAGTATATCTTGGTAAAGTGGATTTGAACTGTTGAAACACATCGTCAATATATCCGTGCCATCTATAAAACATGGGATCACGCATGGTTGTAGCAGTGTCGCCCATTACACCAAAAGACTCCTAAAATTTTAATTTAAAGAAATCCTTAAAATTATTAAATGTTAAAAAATTAACATTAGTAGAAATCCTTTAAGATTAGAGATTGGAGATCCAATTCAGAGATTTCTTAATTGCCGAAACTGAAATTCAAATATTTGTCTTCTGCCCTTTTTACAATAAGGTAGGTTCGCCAAATAAAGCCCGGTTCCTAATAAAGCCCACTTGCCCATATTCCTCAGGATGGACAAATAATGGCAGTATGCTGCAATGTACAGATGCAGTAGAGCCATCTAGGTGCAAATTGTTACACTTAGTTGAGCAGCGACGCGAACTGTCGCTTTTATATGATCATTCGTTTACAGTGGGCAATGGGTAAACATCCAATCTAATATTGAGGTTAGTATGCTTTTGTAATTTAATACGATTATTAGTGCGATTTTTTTTATTTTGCATGACATTTGTGTACTTATTAGTTGTACTTTCATAGTACCTGAATTACCATAGAAGTACCATAATTAGTTTTAATAGTTTATTAAAACGTAAATAATGGTAATTTCTAAAAACATTGATCACCTACAGTATTGCTAATAAGGCCCGGGTGGGCCTTATTAAGACTACGGGGGGGGGGGGGGGAAGCTTGTTAAGACCACTACAATAACACGTTTTATAAGTTTTTAACTTTGTTTCAGAAAGAATACTAAAAAGCTTAAGATGCCTAGAGCTTTACGGACTGAAGAACAAATGGCTTTGGCCTTGCAAGCAGTTAAAAATGGGATGTCAGTAAGAACAGCCGCCAAAGAATTTAATATTGCCCGTCGAACACTTAGAAATCATTTGCTTAGTATAAAAGCGGAAAAGAAACTTGGACGCCCTTCATGTTTAACTCCCCAACAAGAATCTGAGTTGTGTGGAAAAATTTTTAGGCTAGCTGACGTTGGAATGCCTCTGACATCAACAGTGATAAGACGTTCTGTCCATGAATATTGCCAAAGAAATGGCATATCTGCACCTTTTATCGATAAAAACTTGGCTGGTCGAAAACGGCTCAAACTTTTTTTAAATCGACATCCCGAAGTAGTTAAAAGAAAATCTCAATTCATGAATCCAGCTAGAGCCGCCAAATTAAACAGATTCATAGTCAATGACTATTTTGAAAAGCTACGCGGAGTTATGTTGAAGCTTAATATCCTGCAAAGCCCTCAACGCGTTTTTAATATTGACGAGAAAGGTTGCCGCCTAAACCTTCATAAATCACAACAGGTATATGCTCGTAAAGGTGTCAAACGAGTTCATTTGATTTCGCAAGAGCACGCTGAGAATGTGTCAATCGTCGGTTGTGGAAATGCTGTAGGACAAATAATTCCACCTATAATCTTGTTCAAAGGAAAAAGAAAGAAGAATAAATGGTATGACAATCTTCCTGCTGGAACAGTTATTGAAATGACCGAGAAATGAAGTAAAACTACGCCAGTTTTCATTAAGTGGGTACAAGATTTTGCTGTACAAGCCAATAGGAAAAATACTGCTTATTTTTGACGGAGCATCGTCCCATCTGGATGCAGGTATTGTTGATGAAGCCGAGTCGCATGAAATTACGCTTTTTTGCCTGCCAAGTAATTGTACATATGAACTGCAACCTATGGACAAGGCGGTATTTAAAGCCTTCGAATCTTACTGGGACGACGAAGTTATCACCTACTGGACAAATAAACCAGATAGAACGATCAATAAATTTTCGTTTGGCACAATTTTCTCAAAAGTATGGCCAAAAGCAACTACAGCATAAAATGTTATTTCAGGTTTTCGTGCTACGGGAATATGCCCGTATGATCCGAGTGTCATTCCTGACATAGCTTTTTGCCCATCAGAAATAACAGAAAATAAATTAGACTCGGAAGATTCTACTATTCCATCAGCTTCGACTTCCGCAACGAATAATCCTATTGGAAGCTCCACTCCAGACAGAAAAAAGAAAATAAAAGCTCTAAAGGAGAAAAATAGGCAAGATAGCTCTGAGAGTTCTGACGGTTCTGACAATGAATTTTCAGTACATGACAGCTCAGAAGAAGAAAACGAAATGTCAGTAAGTTTTAACGCAGTGTTAATAACACCAGAATTGGAAACTAGAAAACGCAAAGGTGCTAGAAAAAAATCCCTGAACTATCGAGCACAGGAAGTCACAAAATCATTGTTTGATGATGCTGGTTTAAATGACCCCAAAAACCAATCAAGAAAAGGAAAAAAACGTGGCAAACGGAAAAATAGTCAAAAAACAACTAAAAAAAGGAGAAGAGAAAAATAAACACAGCTCACTTGAAACCTCAAAAAACAAAGAAGAACGAAAAGATACTTGGTATTGTTTCGTCTGCAATGAGGATGTCGTTAAGGATATGAGACTTTGTGACAGCTGCAAAAGATATATCCATGAAAAGTGTGTAGGACTTTCAGCAGATGATAAAGACTTAGTTTTCATATGTCCAGACTGTTTGCAATAATTATTTTAAGTACCTATTATTTTTTACAAAATAAATGTCCTACATGCCACCTTTGTTTAATTTGGTTAATGTATAGTTGCACCAATAGACCTTAAGCTTAAGACGTACGTGGAACGTCAATGCGACATAAGCTGAACTGGGCTAAACTGGAGCTGAACATCTGTTGGTGCAATTAGGCATAATGGTCACATTTAAAAAGTGGGCCTTATTAAGAACATGGTGTTCCTAATTAGGCCCAGAAGCAACTATTTTTTAAAGACTAAAAAGTAACAACTCATAAAACTTTTAACAAAATTTAACAATCTCATTTAAATATGTGATTTATTTTCTCTGTGGTTTTCAGATTTATATCGTGATTTTATTTATCAAAAAACAACTAACAAACATTAAGTGGGCCTTATTTGGTCAACTTACCTTATATAAAAAAGACAGATTGATGCATTTACCAGGGAATCTACAATTTGCATTTCACGTTCACGACGGTAAATATCTTTTGCGAATTAGTTTTTAATAGCCCGAACATGAGTAAATAAATAAAGCAGCAAGACGTTTGAGATTTAATTTTAATGCAGAGTTACTGCCATTTGCTTATACCGACGCATTTCATACATAAAATTAAATACCTTATGTTATCCAGATATAAGCCGTATGGCTAAATCACTTTTCTTCTAAGGAAAAAATTTACTTAATCCCAAAGAACTGACACATAAAAATTATTAATCTTCGGAGGGAATCCCTAGTACACATTTAGACGTCGCGAGCAGTATTGCTTTTGCATGACTTTATATAGATTGTCGAATCAATAAACTATTATATTTCCTTAATTAGCATTTAAGTCAGCGCCTCATGTATTTTATCCAGTGGTAACTTTTACAAATAAAGTGTAATGAGCTTTGTAAAGTAAAAAGTGAGGTACTTGAAAGTATTTTCGAAGGAGCTTCTAAAGAAGAGTTAATCAGTGAGATGGAGGCAGAGGATAAATTTAATACAGTGCAAGGTACTGTTACGATTTTAAATGTTATGGCATATAGAACTGTAAATATTTTATGACTAATTCTTTTTTATTGATTCTCGTAATTTGTAGGTCAAAATATACCTGAGCTTCGCTACCAGTTGTTTACAGAAATCTCTAGACACTAATTTTAGTGAGTCATCCACGTCTCGAGGTTGAAAAACGAGTCGAGCGCCTTCACCAAAATACGAGATTATTCAGGAAGTTTGCCGAAAGTTCCAGATGACCACAGTTGTGTATATAAATGAAAGATTTTTGTATTTGAGTCAGTCATAAGAAGATCGGTAAACGCGATATTTAAATGTAACGAAACGTGAAATAAATACATTTGTAAAGTTATTTAATAAATTAGTAATTAGCTATCGTGAGTTTTAATAAATTAGAATATAGACAATAAACTAGAATAAAGACAAATAAATTAGAACTAAATAAACTTCACAGTGGTGCAGAAGTGGGATTGTAGATAAATTTAATTTGATTTTTGAAAAAGACTTTTGAACTTTTGAAAGGTATTGTTCGTCGGGAACATCCGCGTAGTCCAGTAGTGATCGTTGTACGAAAGAACATTTAAAAAGTACGTGTGTGCCTGACCAAAGATGCTGCTAGTAGAACTTTCAGTGAAACAGTTGCGTGAGCAACTAGAAGAACGCGATGAAGACTGCAGCGGGTCCAAGAAGATCCTCCAAGAACGACTGAAGACTGTTCTCAACAAGAATGGAGACGACCCAGAGACATTCCAGTTCCAGTCAGCAGAAGAAGCCGTTTTAACGAAAATAATTGATGGAAAATTCGAGACTGTTTCCAAAAGATTCGATGAAACGTCACAAATGATTGAAGAATCTTCGAAACAAAATGATAGTAAATTTGAGAACGTCTCGCAAATGATTGAGGAGACCTCTAAAAAAAATGATGATAAATTCGAGAACGTTTCCAAAAGATTGGATGAAACGTCTCAAATTATTAAAGAAGTAGGTAGACAAAACGACGAGAAACTCGAAAATGTGTCTAGAAGATTCGACGAGAAATTTGAAAATGTTTCTCAAATGATGGAAGAAACTTCTAAAAAGAATAATGAGAAATTTGAAGAAGTCTCTAAAACATTTGATAAAGTTGAAGAGAAAATCAAACAGTTAGAGACCATGATAACTAACACAAGAGTGCTACCACCAATTAATACGGTAGCTTTAGATCCGGTAGAGATAAAAGAAGACGAGACAAAATGTAAGTTGGAAACACGGCCGAAATTTGAAGGAAGTGGAAGTTCCGTTCATGTCAAAGTCCCAACTTTCGACGGAAAATCATCATGGAACAACTACATGAAACAGTTCGAATCAGCTGCAAGAGTGAATGGATGGTCTGAAAAAGAAAAGGCTGTAAACCTGACTATCGCTCTTCGAGGAGATGCCTTAGATGTGCTCCAGACCATAGCCGTAGAGGAGACGGATGATTTCGAACAACTGAAGAAGAGGTTAAATATGCGATATGGCCACGAACACTTGGAGCATGTATATCAG